TACCAGCCTCTCAAACCATTTGGCAATTTTTCACGATTTTCATACGGAATCTCGACCCGCGGTTTTCCTCGGGTCGCAAACATATGAGGAAATTCTTCTAAAAGTTCTTGTGTGCTTTGGTTTTCAAACCAATGATGTGCTTGCTTTGTAGAACGAAGAGCATTCAAAATACTTTGCATTTGGTACATATCGTCTTTGACCGAACGAATGAGACGTAACTGTTTGTTATACTGTATGTACTCATATTCTTCATTTATGTCTTCATGAACGATAGCAGTTGTTGTGTTCTCGGTTGTTGACATATCTGTCTTTACATACAAAATAAAAAAATATTTTATAAAAAATTAGCGTTATTTTCTGACTTTCACAAAAGACCAAAAATAAACGCTTTACATGTATTTTTCAGCAACTTCGTCAAATAATTTTATAGCACTATCTATCTCATCTACTTCAAACGTTTCTTTACCTTTCGTGGGAGCACCATACATTTTCTCAAACTTTTCAAGTAGTTCTGTTTCTGCAGCTCTCATATCGTTAACAAACACAACCTTGACTCTATTGACTGTACTGTCATATCTTTGAGTTATATTATATGTTCTTCCTATCTTATATCTCTTTGTATTGAAGTCCTTCGGTTTCTGAACGATGTAAAGTAAGCCTTCACTGCAACGTTCCGTATCGAATGAACCATATGTTATGAAGTTATATCCAACAACTGGGTCTAACCATAACAAAACTATTGGTATAAGACTTTTGTCTATAAGATATGCTGTAGTTCCATGAAATGCTACCGATATCATAAGCTCAGGATTTCTTGTCAAAATATTCTGAGTAGAAGCATTTTTAACCCAGTCGTGGGATGTTTTCTTTCCAGATAGTGTTAGAATGTCTGACAAAGAATATTTCTTGTATTTCTTTGAGTATCTTACGTTTAAATCACCAATTCTAACCACTTTGGTGTCATTGTCTATCTTTCTAACTGTTTCAAACTCAGTGTTTGTCATTTTCTGTTCTTACATACAAAATAAAAAAATAAAAAAAAATAAAACTAACGTTATTTTTTTATTTTGTATAAAAGATATGATTTCAGGGATTTTTTTTACGAAGTGTTAAAGTTCTCTTCGTAAAAAATAACAGTTATATAATGAAATTTGGTCATTTTTTCACGATTTCAGGGATTTTTTTGACGAAGTGTTAAAGTTCACTTGGTAAAAAATAACAGTTATATAATGAAATTTGGTCATTTTTTCACGATTTCAGGGATTTTTTTTACGAAGTGTTAAAGTTCTCTTCGTAAAAAATAACAGTTATATAATGAAATTTGGTCATTTTTTCACGATTTCAGGGATTTTTTTTACGAAGTGTTAAAGTTCTCTTCGTAAAAAATACAGTTATATAATGAAATTTGGTCATTTTTTCACGATTTCAGGGATCTTTTTTACGAGTGTTAAAGTTCTCTTCGTAAAAAATAACAGTTATATAATGAAATTTGGTCATTTTTTCACGATTTCAGGGATTTTTTTTACGAAGTGTTAAAGTTCTCTTCGTCAAAAAATACAGTTATATTGTTGTAAACAGAAATTCATCAAAAGTGACACCTCAGAAAAGCTAAAATATTGAATTTTTGGAACTTTTGATAGAGCACGTTTTTAAATATTAATTAAAGTAAATGTATATTTTGTAAAGATTCTTTTTAATAAAAAAATAAAATTTTGAAGAAGAACACAAAATCTTCTGAAAAATAATATCACATAAACTCATATTATTTTCTAATATATAACTATTTTATATAAAAATCAAATTCAATGATCTTAAAAGCGAATGATAAACCTCAAAATTTACGAATATAATGAGTGGGAATATAATGCTTATCTATCATAAAACCATATGAAATATCAATTTTTGCTTTACGCCTATTCCCACTCATTATATTCGTAAATTTTGAGGTTTATCCTTCGCTTTTAAGATCATTGAATTTGATTTTTATATAAAATAGTTATATATTAGAAAATAATATGAGTTTATGTGATATATTTTTCAGAAGATTTCATTCTATATGCCTATGAAAAGTACTCTCAAAACTAACTTTTTCCTAATTATAATTAAATCTAGAATATTGTATTATGCTTAGTATTATTTCATTTTTCTCATTCAATTTAGAATTTACAAATGTCAAAAAATTGAGAGCTGTCACTTTTGATGAATTTCTGTTTATTACAATATAATGAAATTTGGTCATTTTTTCACGATTTCAGGGATTTTTTTTACGAAGTGTTAAAGTTCTCTTCGTCAAAAAATACAGTTATATAATGAAATTTGGTCATTTTTTCACGATTTCAGGGATTTTTTTTACGAAGTGTTAAAGTTCTCTTCGTAAAAAATAACAGTTATATAATGAAATTTGGTCATTTTTTCACGATTTCAGGGATTTTTTTTACGAAGTGTTAAAGTTCTCTTCGTAAAAAATAACAGTTATATAATGAAATTTGGTCATTTTACTCGGCAAAAATATATTTTAGGTGAAGAGGTGCGATCTCACCTGTTTTTTCACCTGTTTTCTACCCTCGTGAATTTTCATGATTTCATCGTAAATGTTTTGTCAAGACTTCTTCGTACATGTTTTGTCAAAACTTCTTCGTACATGTTTTGTCAAAACTTCTTCGTAATGAGCGTAAATCAGACAAAAATAATGTTTAGGTGAAGAGGTTAGATCTAACCTGTTTTCTAACCTCTTTTCTCACCTGTTTTCTAACATGGTCTAAAACACACAAAACTCATGAAATTTGGTCATTTTTCAGCAAAAATATATTTTAGGGTAGAAGGTTAGATCTAACCTGTTTTCTAACCTCTTTTCTACCCCAGTTATTTTATAAGCGTTTCACATGGTAAACGTTATTTTTTAAATTTTGTGAAAACTCAACGGTTTGACACAAGCCCTAAAAATTATTTTACTCAGAATTTTGGTCATTTTTCAGCAAAAATATATTTTAGGGTAGAAGGTTAGATCTAACCTGTTTTCTAACCTCTTTTCTACCCCAGTTATTTTATAAGCGTTTCACATGGTAAACGTTATTTTTTAAATTTTGTGAAAACTCAACGGTTTGACACAAGCCCTAAAAATTATTTTACTCAGAATTTTGGTCATTTTTCAGCAAAAATATATTTAGGGTAGAAGGTTAGATCTAACCTGTTTTCTAACCTCTTTTCTACCCCAGTTATTTTATAAGCGTTTCACATGGTAAACGTTATGAATTCGTGAGACTCTAAACAGTTTTGTAGCTTCTATTTCTTCGCTGAGGATATCGAATGTTTTAACTATGCCGAAAGTCTCTTTATATTTCTTCTTGACGTCAGATAGAAGGAAATCGTCAGCAGTTGGATAGTTTTTGTTCAGAAATTCTAACATGTCCATTTTATCTTCTGCTGGCTTTTCTGCTTCTTTCTTTAAATCTGCATAGTCGTTTCTCATTCTTTCTATCTCTTTGACGGAGTAGTTATATCTCCTCATTGCTGCTTTACATTTTGAACATTGCGGGTTCATTTTAGCGTTATATTCTGAAACCTTACCTGCAAGTACGACTAAGGCGTCAATGGTTTTCTTTAACTCAAAAGCTGCTGGTCTTATTTGTTTGTTCCATATTTTACATCTTTTATCTTTATCTCTTATCTGCCATACACATTCAGCAACTAACGAAACAAAGTTGTCGTAGGTCTTAAATTCTTCAGATTTATATATGTCAGAGATGTTCTTATATACCATGTCGCAATCTTTGTCCATGACTTTGTGGTTGCAATGAAATCCAAGAAACTCATAGTTAGCCTTACGTATGAACTTCTTTATTTCTACCGAGTCAGTTGGTTTCACTTCTATTTCATCGAATTCTGGAATAGTAAGCTTTTGTTGTTGGATTTCAGGCAATTTGGGTAAATGGTCAATAATGTCCTGCATGTCGTAAAGATACTGTTCATTTTGTTCATCTTTCGCACAACAGTCCAAAGTACTTGTTAAAAGTTCCTGCTTTATCTTCTGGATTTCTGTTTCAAAAGTATATGAAGAAGGAATGAAGCTTTTCATTTCTACTAACATAGATGTTGGATTCATGACTAACGAGTTTGGTGCTGTTGTTTGAATTGTTGTTGCTTCGACTGACATTTCTGTTCTTACATACAAAATAAAAAAAAATAAAAAAATAAAACTAACTTTATTTTTTATTTCGGGAAAATTCATGAAAATTCAAGAGGGTAGAAAAGAGGTTAGAAAACAGGTTAGATCTAACCTTCTACCCTAAACATTATTTTTGGGTCCTTTACACTCATTACGAAGAAGTCTTGACAAAACATTTACGAAGAAGTCATGAAAATTCAAGAGGGTAGAAAAGAGGTTAGAAAACAGGTTAGATCTAACCTTCTACCCTAAATTATATTTTTGGGTCCTTTACGCTCATTACGATGAAGAAGTCTTGACAAAACATTTACGTTCATGTTTGACAAAACATTTACGATGAAGAAGTCTTGACAAAACAAGCATTTTGTGAAGAATATACCAACCGCCGGAATGTCGACGGTTGCTTTTTATACAAAATTCAACAGGTGAGAAAACAGGTTAGAAAACAGGTTAGATCTAACCTTCTACCCGACATTCTCGTCAAATACAAAAAAATACAAAAAAATGAAATAAAACTAACTTTATTTTTTCTATCTTAAGGAAATTCATGAAAATTCACGAGGTTAGAAAACAGGTTAGAAAACAGGTTAGATCTAACCTTCTACCCTAAATTATATTTTTGGTGTAAATTTCATTGACTGACTGACTGACGGCACAAAGTGGCATAACGAAAACATTTACGTTCATGTTTGACAAAACATTTACGATGAAGAAGTCTTGACAAAACAAGCATTTTGTGAAGAATATACCAACCGCCGGAATGTCGACGGTTGCTTTTTATACAAAATTCAACGGGTGAGAAAAGAGGTGAAAAAAGAGGTGAGATCTCACCACTTCACCTAAAATATATTTTTGGTCCGGGAACAAAATGAACGAGGTCAGGATGTATGTAAATACCTTTGAATTCATTTATAACACCCTTAGTAAGCTCATAAAATGCTTGTTTTGAGGTCGAGCCACTTTTGGCTCCACCGTATTCGTTCATCCAAAACTCAAGAATTTCCTGTATTTTAGCACTATTGAGAAATCTGTTTAAATGGTTTAACTTTCCTGCTTCTCTTGCCATCTTTGTTGCATTTATATAACCATCCTTGTCTCTACGTAAGACTTCAATACCGTTGTAAGTGCCTTTTGTGAATGTTTCGCCATTAGATTTGTTCGTGAACGTTTTTGCTTCGACTGTCATTTCAGTTCTTACAATAAAAATAAAAAATATTTTTTTAAAAAAACCAACTTTTTATTTTATTTCGGGAAAATTCATGAAAATTCAACGGGTGAAAAAAGAGGTGAGATCGCACCACTTCACCTAAACTTTATTTTTCAATACTTTTTCAGCACTTTTCCGTAGTTGTATATGAAAGACAATTCGAGATAAAAGTCATAGTACAACGGAATAATATGCTGCACACCATTTGTTGTGAACCAAACTTGAAAGTCAGAGAAACTGTTACTAGGTGGTTCGTAGAATTTAGAAGCAAAGTCATAAAAGTCCTTACCAATACACAGAAAACTATTGTTGCTTGAACTGAAACTTGCATGACACATAACATTTTGAGGGTCAAACACGTTTCTATAAACTGTCAAATCTGCTGGTAGAAGTATAAATTGAAATGGACCATCTGGTGGTAATGGTTCGTTCTGGTTTAGTAACCGAAGAAATTGTGCCCAAGAACGTTTGTCTACTCCCCAAAATAAAAACTCCGTATCTCTTGGAGGGTTAATTTCAATCTTTTGAAATGAAACGGTGGAGTTCATCTTGTCATATTCTAGTTTCAGATAGTACGTTCCGTTTAGTAAAGAGTCGTATTTTTCTTGAAATTCCCAATAGTATTTGTTTATTTGAGTTTGAAAGTCATTTAGAGTTTTCTCAAGACTTTCGTCTGAACGAACTGTAAAGATTCTCATTTCGTCAAATTTTTCTATAAGACCATCAGAACCTTTATACTGACCATGAAAATATACTGCGAACATAAACGCGTTAGTTCTATTTGAAAACAAAACTCTTCTAAATCCTATTGCCTTTGCATCTGAAGGACTTTGAAGCCAACGAACTGGATAGTCAAACCTGTATACTCGGGATGAAATTTCTTCATCTGATATAGTCCTACCAGCATTTGTAAAGATATAGTCTAACGGTTTTGTATCTGCTACTTTTGTTCTTTGTTTTTCAACCTGAAGCATTTAATATATGTAAAAATATATGGTTTTAAAAACGTTTTTACTTCATATTTCTCATCTAACAAACATGTTGTCTGACTGCTTGAGGGTTATTTTTGTGCCATTCGAACTTGACGCTTGCAATCCCTTCAATTCCATTCAAAATATCGGAGTCGGAGTCAAACATTTGTTCTCTCTTTGTAGTCTTGAAAGCGTCAAGAAGTTGTGCGGCTGTTGTGACATTGCCATGTGCATAGTAAATATGACCATCCAAATCTGTTATCGTCAATCTGAGATTGTGTCCTTTCTTATTTCCGTCTTGTATGGCAGCAAGTACACCCATGAAGCCTTCTTTGTTCTTTCCTTTGTCAAAGTTTACTGTAAAGGTTCTACCAGATGTAATTTGGCTTCTAACCTCACGGTACTTCTCATATGCATATCTTGTTCTTTCCATGGGAGCATGACCATCCTCTGCACTACCTTTTTTCCTTCTCAAAGGATGCAATTGTTCGTCATGTTTCCAGTAGAATCTGGCAAAGCCGTCGTGTCCCTCAACTTGAGGTTCACTAACATCGAAAGGCATGTCCATAAGACGTTCTTCTTCTAACCTCTCTAGTCTGTTTGGATAATTTGCACGTGCTGTTTCCAAATCCATTTCGTAGCGAAGACCAGCCAGTTTGTCATAGACTTTTATGGGTCTTCCCTTCCTATATTTAAAATTCTTCGAAACTCTCCAACCATATCTTTGCAACTCTGCTTTTATTCTAGCAGACTTTCTATCCATTCTATATGGGGGCATTTTTATAAAAATAAAAAAATATTTTTTTCTCTTTACTTTACATAACCACCTGCTGCCATAAGTCTTTGACGCCAACCCATACCAGCTAATGAAGGTTGACTTGGTTTAGTTTCCAAACTAAACTTTGGTTTTGGTTTATCTTCAGTTTTTGGTTTTTCTTCTTCTATCTGTTTTTCGTCACTTTTCGGTTCCTTTGACTTTACCTCACCTGCAGGAACAGTTGTGTCGTCAACATCTTCATAAATATCATATGCCATTTGTTTTTGTTTTCCTTTCAACTTTTTGTGTTTGTTGTAAAGTTTAGAATATTTCGACTCTAAGTCAATGAGATGTTCTATAATGAACTGTTGGTCAGTGAAGTAAACTTTTCCATCTGTTGTCTCGAAAGCTCCTTCAGACTTCAATATTTTATTTGTGAGAGTCTGTTTCTTTTTTGAGATACTTGCCGTTCCATTTTTATGAAAAGTGACTTTGTAGTTAGGGTTTGTATTTCCAGACCTGGCACTTTCTATTATTGAATTTTTCTCTTCATCTGTAAGTTCTTTGACAGGTTTTGACAATGGTTCTGAACTTTTTGTTTGTGGTGTCAAATCTACCGTTTCAACTTCTTCGGTCATTTCATCTCAGTAAAAAATTTTAGTTTGGTTTGTTTTCAACTGGTTGTTGAGGTTTTTTAAGTCGGTCTAAAACTTCCTGAGGTATAGGAAGAACTTGACAAACACGTTGTGTAACTGCTGGAAGTCGACAAATCCATCTTGAACCCATTTGTCTCAATGCTGTATTGTTCATTTCATCTCAGTAAAAAACTTTACATTCCCCACGTTTGAGGCGGTTGAGGTTGGTTATTGTTTACCCACTGTTGTGCATGGTTATATCCTCTGTTAAAGAATCTTTCACCTTGGTCCATATAGTGTCCTGCTTGGTTATAGTAGTCATTTGCTTTGTTATAATAGTTTCCTGCTTGTCTTCCTACATTGTCCATCCATCCTTGAACTTTTCCTCTTGTTTCAGGATTTGGAATAAGATTTGTTGCATCTCGTGCTACATCCCAACCTTTCTGTACAGTTTGTATAATAGGTTGTGCTTTCTCTTTAAGTATACCTAATGTACTCAAAATCTTCCTTCCAACTCCAAATACACCTCTGGCTATTGTTCCCACTGCGGGCAAAAATCTGGATGCAACTCCTGCTAACGCGCCAAATAAACCCATTTCTTATGGGTTAAAAATGACGAATCCAAACAAGGACCCCTATGTTTCTAAAGCGACAAAGAAAGCACTCATGGTAAAAATCTTTAGTTCAACACCAAATGCTTGGTTTATGGATATCTTGGAAAACATTCCGAGGTATAGAGAAGATGGACCACCATACTGGCTAATATTTGTCGGTCAAAACACAAGATACTGTGAAGCCATACCATTACAGTCCAAAAATATTTTAGATATCTTAGCAGCTTTGACAATATTCGTTGACAAATACCATCCAACAAAACTGACATCTGACTGTGAAAGTTCTTTCAAATCAGACGATATTAAAAACTATCTGCGTTCAAAAAATGTAAACCAATATTTCATTGTCGACCAAAACCATTCTGCTCTCTTGGTGTCATGACGGTTGTATAAAAATGTTAAGAGACTTAAACCAACCACAAGGTGGTGAAGCAAATGAAATGTCATATGACGACAAATATAGACACTTCTCCATGGCAAAGATGAGACAAGTTTTAAATATTTACAATAGCCGTAAACAAAAAGGTTTGGGAAACCACTCCCCCGAAGAAATGAAAAACAACCCTGACTTAGAGAAAGACTATATATTTAATAATTTAGTCAAAAGAGACAAACAAGAAAGAATGCCGGGCTTCAAACTTCAGAAAGGTGACAAAGTAAAAATAGAAATACCTAAACGCGACCCATATGAAAATACTATTGACTATGACAACAATGGGAACCCGACAGGTACTCACATTCGTGTTCGTAAAAATAGAAGAAAGTATACAAGAGAATATTATGAAGTTTTAGGCAAACATGGCAAAATGTACAGACTGCAAGCAGAAGATAAAACTACTATTGTCAGACCTCGTTTCAAACTTGTCAAAGTTCAAGGTGGTATACTTTCAAAGACAGTTCCTAACCAATATAAGACAACTCCTGACGAATATGCTAAAGAAGTGGAACATGACGACTAAGCATTTCTATACCATGCGTAAACTGTCATGTAAGGTGGCATGTAGTCTTTACTTTGTCCCGTTGTTTGCGTATACCCTGAAACGCGATGTGTATGGTTTCCTCCTCCCTCAGTGTTACTCCAGTAACAATTTATAGCAAACTTAACGTTGTCTTTAACATCATATCCTTTACCTTTTGTCATTGCTGACCAATCCCAATATCTATGCTTATGCCAACCTGCTTGAGATGTACTTAAATCTATGTAGTGACTGTGTGCAGGTAAATTTTCACCTGAAATCGTTTTACTTCCACCTGTTTCCTTTGAAGAGTTTGCACAATACAAAAACCTGTCGACTATTTGAGTCCAAGTTCCAAAACCCAGAACTGTTTCTGGTCTGGTAGAGTTCATTGACGTATAAATAGAGCCTATAGGATATAATGTTTGAAGTATTTCTGTCTTTAATGTTTGAAGCTCTGTTTTGTCTGCTTTCTTGTCAAGGCTAACGTTTAAGTCTGTTATTTCAGAAGATGTATGTGTATGTCCAACGTCACTTTTCCTGTTTAAGGTTTCTTGTAAGTTTGCAATATTTGCAATGGTATGTGTATGAGTCTTATTTGCTTTCTTCTCTAACTCATCGTTAACATAAGTTTTATCTGCTTTAAGGTCTAAACATCCTGAAACCCATCCTGTATTGGCTTTACCTTTTAAAATCTTCGATGTCCGTTCATGGTACCATTCAACCCTTTCTATAATTTCGTTATCTTTTTCATCCACATATTCCTTATCCGCCTTCTTCACTAACACACTAGCCACCCATCCCTTATCTGCTTTTGTCTCTAATGTTTCTTGTAAGTCTGTTATTTCAGATATAGAATGTGTATGAGTCTTTTTAGAATATTCGTTTTCAGCTCTTGTCACTTCACTTGACATTTTATTGTCAACATATGTTTTGTCTGCTAGTTCAGGATGAGTATGTTCTTTCGTTGCATAAGCTTTGTTAGCTCTTTCTTCTTCTTTTGCTATTGCATCGTCTACATATGTTTTGTCAGCTTTGTTGTCAACATCTGCTTTCAAAAGAAGTTCATTTATAGGTTTCTCGTTTAAAGTTCCTTTTGTTGGATTTATACAGACAGTATGGTTCTTATTGTCTTGAAATAGAAACTCATCTGTCATTGGGTTTAATGTCAGTTTTAAGTTTCCTTCTTTCAATGACTCAGATATCTTAGAATAGTTTGAAAAGTTTGTTGTGTTCTTATTTAGAGCTTGCATAATGAGTTGTCGGTTGTGTTGTATTTCTCTCATAGACGCTGTTTCTTTCGACATTTTTATTATAGATAAAATATGCTTTCAATAGAAAAAGAAAATTCTAGAGTTGCTACAACTAAACCATTAGATGAACTTTTTACTAATGTCGGTCAAAAGTTTGAGACAGAGACCGTAAAGCATGAAGGCTATCGTTTTGACTACCCGTTAAGATGGTTAAGAGACCCATCTGTCACAAAAGCTATTGGCTTTCGTAGAATGAAGTTCATTTCAGAAGCCATACATGGTTTCCCATTTACGGTCGGTTTTGAAGTTCGATACTATAACAAAGAAAAACGTATGTATGAGAAATTTGAACAGGGAAAACTTTTACAAGTGAATTTGCTTGTAAACTTAGAAACAACTCTTCAAGCTTTTCAAGAAAAAATAAACGATATCTATCTCGAATATGCAAAACAGTACAACATTGACGAAGGAGAGTACCATCTCGATATTATATATGACAGGAAAAATGCAACTGTTAAAATCAATAGAATAGAAGACCTTGGAGAAAACGTTTATATTTCTACAAAATATAACAACTTGGCATGGTATAGATTTTTGAGGATGTTAAATCAGCCTGCAGCATATCCAGTACACCCGGACTTTTATGAAGTCGAAAACCCTAATGGAACATATGAAAATGTTTTCGACTCAGATGCTATTATAGTTCATGCTTCATTTTCTGGCGCCCAAAACTCTTTTTTATGCTTGGCAAATGACTTTTACGAAAAACCTACAAAGCTATATGAACCACCAAGTGGAAGTATTTCAGACTTTCAAGTATGGTTTACAACAGATGGAAGAAAGAGAATAATTCCATTATACCATGCGTTTTACTTAGAACTTAGTTTCATATACAACTACTATCGAACGGTAAAAATATAATTTTTTAATACGGTTGAGGTGTTGGATTTGGTTGCCAACTAGACTGTGGTGCAGGTTCAGGCTGTTGTATAACAGGAGCTTGTTCTTCTGGTTCAGGGTCTTTAGGTATAATACCAACGAACTGACCTACTCTTTTACCAATATTTTTGACTCCGTTCCAAATTCCTCTTCCTACGGTTTTTATTCCATTCCATATACCTCTTCCAACTCTTCTGAAGAAGTTTCCTATTCTTCCAAAGAAACCCATTTTACTATATGTAAAAATCTAATGTCCGCCTAGTCTCTTACGTTTCCTGTTGAGTTCCATAGCATTCTTTAACTGGAGCTCATACATTCTGTTTCTCCTCTGGTAGAAAACATATTCTGGGTCAACTCCTGTGTTCGCGTCATCTGCATAAAGTTGTTTATATCCCACTTCAGGGTTTGTATAAAACTCTTTCCATCTCATATTTGCATACCATGGTGGCAAACCTAACGCAGCGTCATTTGACATGGCAGTTTGCATTTGTACATCTGTTGGCACTTGACCATAGTTTGCCATTGCAGTTTGTATTCTAACTTCATTTGGAATATTCTCTGGGTTTGGTTGTCCAGGTTGCTGTGCATTCGCTAAGTTCTGTGCGTCCATTTAATATTAGATAAAAATATCTCTTACGAGTACATATACTGGACATTTGCAGGCATTGGTTCATCTTCATATTCTCTGTACTTTTCTGCCACGTCAAATAAATAAATGACACAATGGAAAAAACCTAAAACAAGTAGTCCTATTTCAAACCACATTTACTTACTAGTAAAATTTCTTTATTGTGACACTTTCTCCAGTTTATAGGACCTCTCTCATATTCTATCTTGTCATATATAAACTCATAGTCATGTATGTCCTCTAACCATCTCATAACGGTTTCCAAACCACTTTTATCGGATGTAAAGTAAAAGCATGGATGGTTATGTATAACGTCTAAAGTTTCTAAAGAGTCTCTCAAAGTCCAGTCTACTTGGTATTGAAAATCCCATGTGTTATAGAACGGCGGGTCCACTATAAAGAAAACATTTTCCTTGTCTTTATATTTTTCATACAACTCTGTCCAATGACATCTCACAAACTCTATACCCTCAATATATTTTTCTATGTCCTCTTTGAAAACATTTGTATAGTTAAGATATAAAACTTTTGACATAAGTGTTTCAATGTCATGAACTCTTATAGCACCACTATATAATAGTCTAGCAGATATACTATCCCAGTCTATATATTCTGCTTTTTTCAAAACCTCTCTCACAATATTTTTCTTATCTAATGGTATACGTTCCATCTTACCTATAGGTATCTTTTCTTTTAACTCTTTCAATATATTGTTTGTGTCTGGTATATGTTTGAGACGGTCCATATAGTTGTCGAAGTCATTGCATATAATCTTTGAGTCTGGGAATATTGTATGGCACAAATGGGATATATAGAAACTTCCACCGAACAAATCTACAAATGTTAGACCATTCGGTAGTTTCTTAAGTTCTCTCAATAGAATATCTTTACATTTACTCTTATTTCCAAAGAAGGGTAACGGTGGTTTTGTAAAATTCATTTTATATATAATAAAAATGTTTTTTCCCTGAAAAGTGACAGAAAAGTGACAAAACATGAAAACATATATAATTTGTGAAAAGCTCCTGGAAGACCCGTATATAAGAACTTCATTTATACTAAACATCTTCAGGGCTAGAGGGCACGAAGTGCCTGGAAGCCCTCCAAAATAAAACTTCAGGGCTAGAAGGGGCGCAGCCCCTGGAAGCCCCACTACCTTTTTTTTTTTTTTTTTTTTTTATTACATACAATAAAATTTTAAAAACTCTATTTCTTCACAAGAAAATTTTTTTCCTTCATATGAAGAAACATTTTGTTCTCCATTTGATGCTGAGTCTAAATCTCGATTTTTGAATTTTCTTCTTTCCAAATTTCTTTTTTCCAAATTAGAAGAGGTAGGGCAACGATAGAAAATTTTTGGAAAAAAAGTTCGGAGATCTTAAGGGTGCACACGAGAGGATCATGTAAACTTCAGAATTTAGAACCTTATTTTTAGGCATTATCTTGGCTACTTATTTAGGCTCGAAAAGCAAAAAATATCAAAAAATACAACTTGACTCCATTATGACCCTTTCATGGAGGTAGTTTTTATCCGCTAGTATTTTCCCTTTGAATCTCTTTACAATTCGAAATCAAATTCAAATCTCAGTAGAAGAAAGGAAGAATCGACTTACTACGGTTGTAATACGAATAAATACATATATTTAATTATTTTTATTTACATAATAATTGTTTGAAGCTCATATTCCAACAAATTTTTAAATAAAAACATTAAAATGTTGAAAATGTTCATATATTTTAATAGGGTTTTGGCACTTTATTGAGGAATTACTACATACATAGTCGAACTGAACTTGATATTTTGAAATTTAAATTATTTATCAAAATTAAAATTTAACTTGAAATTTATAATTATTTAGTCATATTTTGCATAATTCTAAGTAGATTTTGTAAAAAATCAAGAAAGAAAAATTTTAACGTGCTTTATTTTTTCTTTTTTATAATAATACATATTATTAGATAATTAACATATTCATAATGTTTCACCCTTTCAAAAATATAATCCTCCTCTCAAATAAACGTACATACGGGTGGCCTCTTTTTTCAAAAAATTAAAATTTGAAATTTTGGGCTCAAATATTAGAGATTTTTTCAACCTTCAACGATATATGTTGTCTATATCAGACCTCCTTTCTTTTTGATACTTAACATTGTTCCTAAATCTTAGCCGTTAAGGCTGTTCTGAAAATATATTTTTTTCGAAAAAATTCGAAAAAAATTCTTAAAATTCAAAAATCCCTTAATTCCTGAGGATTTTGGAAAAAAGTTTTTACATGAACATGTGTATATTATATGAAGTATATTGATAAGGTAAAAATCAAATTTTATTGCATATTCATCGAGAAAATAAACTAACGAATCCCTCAAAATTGAGAGGGTAATCCTCCTCCTCTCAAATAAACGTACATACGGGTGCACCCTTAAACGTATCATATTCCCTGCATGGTTTGGTATCTTCCGCCATGCGTTGTGCCAAACATATTGACACTTTCCAATAATTAATTTATGGTATGAGTCACAGAGTTAGATTATAAAAAGAAAGTAAATAATTGCAATTAGAAATCATATATGTCGGAAATCAAATGTTGATGAGCAGAAACCTTTTACTCATCATAAAAGAGATAAATCACTAAAGATTTGTATACATTAAAATTTGATATTTGGTGCTCGAAAACTGTCTGATGGGACTCCTCCAAAATGAACCAATCTATCGCTGAGGACCAAATTAGATGATGTGGATGGTGTATTCTCTAATTCTAACTTAGGAAGAATGGGAACAAAACGAATGACGACAACAACATGTCAAACATAGATTAAATATCTATGAATCAATAAAGTATACGTGCATTGAAGGTGATAACGATCACTTGAGGCTTATAACTCTTTGACTAAATTATGCAATAATTAAATATAATCATTTTTATATTTTTATACTGATAGTAATTAATATACTATCCTGCTTAATAAATGGTATGATCAAATTTGTTTGAAAATTTAATTATGTATATGAAACTATGTCTTCTATATAAAAATCAAAATTTTCGGACGAACCTAGATTGAACCTTTATGAAAATCTATCATTTTTGTTAATTGAGTTAATATGAATCTTTTACATATGTATATATAGCATTGATAGCTTATATAATCATGGTTTATTCCATATTAACATATTTTTTCAGTTAAATTTGTTAATAATATCATGTAACAAATTAATTCAAGATTAGAATGTCTACAAAATGCTAACAAATAAGAACAAAATACGATTTCTCGACTTAAATTTTAATATGGAGTAGTTTTTCGTTTAAATCTAATTAAAAATGAATAAAAACTTATCTTGTACTATTTTCATTCAAAGATTTTAATAATGTAAATCATGCATTTTCATAATTCAGTACAGTTCTTTTTAGAATTAAAGTTGATGAGGATGATATTTGTGATTTAAAATAATTTGTTAATGTTCACCTTTTATTCATCACCTTGTGGTATGCCCTAAAGCAATAGCATTATCAATTCTGCTGAATTGATCAACTCAAAATTCCAAAAAAAATTCAAAATTTCAAAAATGAAATTAAACAATTTGAATTTTCACATGAAAAAATCAATTTCGAAAAAAATTTGGAAAATCAAAGTATTTGATAATTAGTCAAATAATCAATTTACATCGTTTTTACTCATAAAAAACAACTAATTTTTGATTTTGATATCATATTTGATAAATACTCATTCCAGAGTTGACGTAATGTATTAATTATTGTTAGAGATATTGCTTTCGCAGCAAAATTCTTATTTCATGAAAGAAAAAAAAATGATTTTATTCCAACAAAAACAAGTAAACAGATGAATGGAAACGTACTATATTTTCATAAATGTAGTAATCAGCGTGTCAGCTTTTGTTTATCATGTTCGAGTCAAAATGTATTAACTTGTAATAAGAAATATTCGAAGATTATATGAAGTATTGAGCATTCTTTGTAGAAATATTTGTAATTCATTACTAACATATATAATAAAGTTGTTTTTTTTTCCTTATTGCAATAATTTTGTCTGATTTTAATAACTTTTCATGTATACGAGTTGTGTGAATATGCATCATAATATGCGTAAATATACTTATTTGCGACGAATAATGTGGTTGCATAATGGAGGTGCTAAATTTTGATTTTTAATATGGGGCTTTGGTATGTATAATCATGTTCTTATCTCAACGTAGGAGTATTGGTGCAATATGATTAAAATTTACGAGGTTGATCTTAAATTGAATAATTCTGGAGTATAAATCACAATGCAGCTAATTCTATGTTAAAGATAGATACAGATTGTAGTAATCAATTAGGGAGTACAAATTCATTCTTTCATTTCTGTCGTATTGAGCAGAAAGGAAGAGATCATAACCCTAGGAAAAAAAGCCCAAATTTGTCACTTTTCATAGTACGTTAAACTCAATTCGCTCGGCGAATGCCGAGCACACGTACTCATCATTCAACATAATATTCTCATTCTTTGGTTATTATAGTGCCAGACAACACAAGATTTCAAAGAATTACTTGAGTTTTCAATTAATCTTAATCCGATTTTAGATTTATCGAGAACTCCATCATCACAATCACATACTTCAGTGCGGTAACTACAATTATCCATATACAGAAGGAAGTTCTTTTCGAACAACTCATTTGGAGTCTGTTTTGGAAAGAACTTCTTTCTGTCCGACTTAATTTCATAGTTCCTGATCAACCAAAAGACAGAAACCACACACTATCTACTTAGGAAAGGAGTTCTTTCTAAATCTTCCTTAAATTGAGATTTTACGAGAGATAACCCTTCTATTGCACTTAAAAATGAACATTTTGATATCTTTAGTATCACACATGGTCATATATAGTATTTCATCTACATGAATACATTCATCTTTCGAAGTCTCTCATTAAATGGGAGGCTTCGAAAGATGAATCGTTTTATTCATACAACTTTAAATCTCGAACACATTTAGAGAGTGAGTATATCATTTTATTCTTGTTTTGAGTTTATTCTGATTCAAAATTGCAGTGAAAACAGAAGTTCACACATCATATCTGAATGTGAGCTCATCTATACTTATACGATCTCAATACCTCCACTCTAAGCATAAGAGGTGAAGTTATATAAAAATTATCAGATGCGTTGAAGTCTCAAAAGTATTGCCTGAATGCTTGTTTCATATTTGTCCAAGTAGTTTCAATGAATAAATGTATTGTTTTTTATAATTTCGATTTATTTTTAGAAAATATTCAATATAAACCTTTATTGTGTTATTTACATCTCATAAATTCTCTGTCTAAATCATATAAAAGCGCGTTTTACCCCTATGAATCAAGAAATTCATTCAATATTCATGGTATATTTATTAAATTTATACGATTTACTAATAATCAATATTATATCCTCATAAATAGCAATATATTTTGGTAATCTATGATAATCATATACAATATTTGAAATCAAATTTTCATTAGTTTAGGTTCCTTGTTAATAGTAAAACATTATATTTATTACTAATAATAAAATCTATGTGTCGTATTGAAATTCAATAAAATTACTTATTCGGTCCAAAAAAACAAATTAGATAAAATTTTTCTTTTTTTATGTAATTTTTGTTTTTCATTTTTCTCAAGATCCTAAGTTATGTTCTAACTTTTGACATCATATCCTATCATGCTAGGCTATATATTATAGCATATCCAAAAGGCAAGGAAATCTATCAGAGAAGCCTTTTTGACCTATCGTTGCCCTACCTCTAATTAGAAGTTTAATTCAAATTTTCAATAGTTTATATATTTTCTCAAACCGTCTTAGATTTTCTCACTTTTTAGGGATATTCTCTCAAAATATACAAAAATAGTAATACCAATACATGTGTCTAATATACTTTAAAACCATCGTGATAAAATTCAAAAACGAAGAGTTCTTCTCTCCAAATTTTTTTCAAAATCAAAAAAATGAGATAAAAAAATACGTTTGGAAAATTCATTTTTAGCATTTTAGGAATTTTCTCACTTTTCTTCCAAATTGACATCCTTAGATATACATCTTATAATGTATAAATTAAACGATGAAACAGCTTTTCTCAAATTCAGATTGCCAGAACATGGACAGTGACGCGGCAAAGATAGTCTGTCGCTTCAAAGAGTTCAGGCAAAAAGGATTGTTCATTGACTGCATATTTACTTCATGGAATAAACCAGAAGTCAAAGCACATAGAATCATTTTATCAAAAAACTCTACACTACTAAAACATTACTTTGAAACAACACCATATAATCCATCGAATATCAAATTGAATATACCATTTAATACACCAGATCATTCATTTTCTAAAATTGTTAATTTTTTTTATAACAATACAATAGAACTGACAAACGATAACGTGATTATACTTCTTGCTCATTCTATTATATATGGAATTAAGCATCTAGAAAAAATAATTATGGATCTAATATCCGATTCAATAAATAAGACATCTTCAGTAAATTTCTTTAAGCAAGTAATATCATTCACAATATCAGCCGATTCCTATTCCAAATTTCCCGATCTTGCCCAGAACTATGATAGATTTATCCGTCAATTAGATTTTTTGGCTAAATACGTTGCAGAAAATTATGTTGACGACGAACTTTATGAAGTATTTAGCTGTGTCAATCCAAGATTGCTTTCGATGATTCTGAAGCATTCTTCAATTCCAGATTCTAAAAAAGTCAAAATCATTAACGATTTTGTCGCAAATTTAGAACTCACCACCAACGATATGACCTATCTTACAGACACAATTCACTGGGAAAATCCAGATTCATATACATATTTAGTTAAAAATAGTTGTGAATGGCTTTTGCCTAAAGTTTCTCGCAAACTATACTCGATTATTATTACAAACCGCAGAATCTCTGCCAACGCCTTCCAACATAAGATTGATTCGATCAGTGATATCGATCCATCAAATTCAGACAACAAACAAGCACAAGGAACAACAGAAAATCAACCACCATCACGAAAACTACAAAATTGGTTCCCATTCGCATGGTTAACTGTCGTTTGGGATTCTCAAGGAAAAACTTGCACTCCAGAAGTCGAACTTTCAGAGTTCATCGGCACTCTTGGTGGCCTTGTCAAATTCTTCAATCCTGTCAACTATTTACTCCTTGAATCTTTCGCATCGACTCCAATTCATCCAAAAATTTTCTCTGCCGCATATATCTTCGAGGATTCAAAGAATTACTTCCTGTCTAACTGCGAGCACAACTACATTGGTTTCAAGATGAGATTACCTTGTTTTAAATTGTCATCAATAATTGTAACTTTTGACAATAGAGAACGAGGAAAACCAATGACATCAAATACTAAACTGATGTATAACAGCTTAGGAAAAATGAAATTATTAATTTCAGATTCAAATAATAAGACTAAGTTCCCTAACCCAGTCTTGCCAGGTGTTCCTTTCGAGTGCAAACAGATTCCTGTACTGTTCATTTGCGTAATACCAGATACAGCTGGCGATGGGAACATTAAATGTCTCCGCGTAAGCAGATTGAAGTCGTATGGTACATTTGATGTTGATTAATCCTATATATATTTGTTTGTTTATCTTGTATTTATAACTTATTTGTATTACCTTAAAATTTTAATTTTTTTTTCAGTATCAAATGAAATTGTCAAGAACACAGAAGATGCTTTATACTAAATGTTGCCAATAAACACAATTACTATTTAGATTTTTTTTTATTCAAAACAAAAATATATTTTTCCTACTAAAGTTATATCCGATTTAAGTCATTCTTTCATTTCTTATCAGCAAAATACCCAATTTAATGTATTAGTTTTCATTTTTGGTAATCTGATTGCTATTGATGCAAATCTGAATAACATCATCATGTTATGATGAAAAATCAAATAAGAATTCAATAATCATAAAGAATGGACAAATTTGGTAAAAAAAATTTGAATAAAAACAGAAAAATAACTAACAATTTTATAAACAATAGCAGGTTTCTAATCTTGTAGCTTATATACAGAAACAATATCAACTTTTCCGGCATCGTTATCGTCTGAAGGATTATCTTCTTCTGCGTAAATTTGATTCTTTTTCTTTCGAAAATGTATGATCACGACTGTTAGTATAGTGATTATAATGATCAAGCAAATAAATACAATGCCTACAATTAATAATGGACCGTATTTCGTTTTTAGGATTGATACACTTTCAACATCGACTGAAGTTCTTGTTGGAAAGGCTGTTTTTGATGGAGCTGGAGTTTCATCTCCTACAATTGGTGGCGGTGTCGACATGATATTAAAAAATTTGTTGTTATAAAAAAAAGAAAACGTTCAAAAATCATATTCAGTCATATCCAGAGATTTCGCAAGCATCTACATAGTCTTTTATTCTTCAAATGATAATAGTTTGGTATGAATACTTGTAAATCAGCACAATGATGGTATAGTTACTCAAGAAAAAAACAATATAAGAATTTTTGATTTTCATAAACATTTATTTAATTTGAAAAGGCTACTTTCAAGAAATGATACAGTAAAAATACTAATTACGATATTCATTGAATATCATTCCTAAGCGTCCGCATTTTTCTCCATTCATTAACGCTGATTTAAACTTTTGTTGTTTCATTCCTTTTCTAAAAAGCACGCCACTAGATGTTGTATGTACTGATTCTTGTTCAAACAATTCTGGATCTGTTAAACAGTCTAATAAAGGAGTTCCTTGTTTGATTTCAATTCTTTCTGGTTTTCTTAGCTCCGGAAGAAGCTTAATAAATTCATCATCTGTAAGTATATGCAAATCTGTAGGATCTTGTGTTTCTGCTGGATTGAAACGTAAATTAAGTTTTCTATTTGGAATTTCCTGCGCCATTCTTGGCATAAACTTAGGACCTTGTGGAACTTCTTCTACAACTGGAGGAGATGCTGGAGGTGAAGAAGGAACTGGTGTTGACGCCATTCCAGTATCTTCTGTAACTTCTGCAGAAGTAGTAGGAGCATTTGATGCTGGTTGATTTGTATCAGAGTGTTCTTCGCTAGTTTGCTCTTGTGTTAGATTTTTAGATGGAGATTTTGGTGATTCAGCGGTAGCTTCATGTTGCGTTTCGGATTCTGCTTTAGCTTCTTCATCATTGGCTTCCTCTTCTTCATTAACTGCTTCTTCTTCCTTGGATAAAAATCCAGCAGGATATTTCGTAACTTTATTGACATTTGTTTCGATTTCAAGTTCACTTTCTTGGTATTTAAGAACAAGCGTATCTTTTTTAATGACTTTGATGATTTCGGCGTCATATAATTCTGTTGTCCAGCCATCGGTTAATTTCCAGCGAGCAAGAATATGCTCACCAACACTATATGGACCTTGAGTATTAGGAAAAAGCGATATGAATTGAGGATCAACAATAAAACGCTCTAAAGATGGATCTTCAGCATATTCATCATGAATAACATATTTTCCGTTTGCTTGCTTCTTTTCTATTTTGCCAAGGAACCACTGGGCACGGTCTTCGTTTGGAATTTCAACGTATGCCGCAACCTGTTGATTCTTTTTCATTTTTAAAATTTATGTAAAGTGTCAAAAATTTGATATTTTCTCTTTTTTTGGCATTGTAAAATGTCAAATTTATTTAATGTCTGACAACTTCGGCGTTGACTCTGATCCCGAGGTTTTCGAAGTTGAATCTATCATTGGAAAGATGTATACAGATGGGAAACCATATTATTTAATTCATTGGAAACATTACGAAGATCCAAAATATGATACATGGGAGCCGAGAGAAAATCTTGATTGTCCAGAAATTATGGAAGCTTTTGAAAAGACAGAAATAGCTAAAAAAGCCGATCAGAAATACCAAGAATTCTTGGCTGGGAAATATAAAACTAAATCATCTCATAAAAATCAAATTATTCAAGATATAGATGAAGTAAACGTCACAGAATCCTCTTCAACAAACAATAAAAAGAAAAAACGAAAATCTGCTAAAAAATTAGATGCAGTTTATCTAAATGAAACAGATGAAACAAAAATATCTTCTTCATCAGATGTTTTACCCAATGAAGAAAATGATTCTGAACTCGAAGTTGTCAATTCGAGCAAGAAAAGAACAAAATCTTCCTCAAGGAGATCTAAACCCAAACAACAAAAGAATAACTTACCCGAATCTAACATAGACCAACCAAATTCAAATAAAGCTGCTGCCGTTTCGAAACCATCACCTAAAAAGACTCGATCTTCAACTGAAGCATCAACAAGTTCTAAAAAGACTCCTTCAAAGCCAAAAGAAACAAAAAGACGACCTACTAAAAAATCTCGCGTTGAAGAGTCAGTAAACGAAACTACCGATGAAATACCATTACAAGATACCTCAGAAGATCAAGTACCTAATCAATACAAAGATGATGATTCTGATTTTGATTTAGAAGCCTTCAAGAAATCAATTGTTGAAGAAGATTCTAAAAAGGATCAGGAATTCAACCAGAATGCTAAAGCAACATTTATTCTCAAGCAAAACTCAGAATTTAAATCATATAAGCATAAAGAAATGGATTATCATGCTATATATGGAATATACCCCGGAACTCAATTGCCTGGCTCTTTAGATGGCACTGCTGTTATAAGATTTTCTGATGCAAACCAATTAAAGAGTAATGGATTTATTCTGGCACATTTAGAAAGTGGAAGAGTCGTTCCTGTCAATATCGAAATTGCCAGGAGAATGTCTCCTCAAAAACTGATTGATTGCTTGATAGAAGAGAAGCTCAAAATAGATACAAAGAAAGAGAAGGATCTTGCCATTTGATTATTATGTTATTATTGTATATAAAATTTTAAAATTATTATGTAAATATAATGTGGTCACACGAACTTTAACATTTTTTCCTGATATCATAAATGTCCTCGTTGAGCTAGAGTACTTTAGTCAACCGCATTAATGCATTTATGAAAAACACAAACTGCTAAATGTAATATCGCAGCTGTCAATAGCTGCGCTTCTCCAGAAAACTAGATAATTTCAAAATTTTGAAAAACAAAATTGATTATAATGTAAATATCAAACATTTTTTTTAATAATACAAACAAATAATATATAACTAAGTCTACCAAGTTATCATTGGTTCTGCAGCTAAAACGTAGCTTTCAACTCTGGCGTCATCTCTTCCCATACGAATTCGCATCATTCCGTTTTCGCCCCAAAGACGTCCATATTGATTCAAAATTATCCAATACGGAATCCCTTTTTCTTGGCCCCAGCCGATAATTTCAACTGTATGTGTGCGATCTGCGATATAATCTCGAGGAGGATCTTCAAAAAGTCCTCCAGTATAGTATTTAAGTCGGTCTGTAACTGCAACAGAGGCTGAGACTGGCCCATGTAAATAAATTTCTTTTTTAATTTCTTGGACAGAAGTAATTTGTTTTGTACTGCCTATTTTAGCTTTATATAATGTTGCTTGTGAACCATCTTTACATTTCGAGCAAAATTCAGAAGAATAATTGAGCTGATTTGACCAAGGATGACATTCTTCGTCTGTAACGCCATGCTGTTCAAGAAAATAGTAAACACTTCTCGAACAGCCGCCTTCGCAGCCACTTTCTAGTAGATCACATGCGACTATGAATTGTGCTGATAAAAATGTCTTTTTGTTTTTAGCTTTGCATATCCTATGACTCATTGCCTTTATTGGTCCATAAGCATAGCAACAACCGCACTCTTGCGTTAAAGGACCAAGATCGCAATGAGGATATTCCTGAAGAAAGTTATATTCATCAGGAATATCAATGCTTATATCTTCAGGAAACGATCTGATACTTTCATCAACGAATGCAAATCGACTTTTGACTCCAAAAAATAGAAGAAAAAACATGACTTGATAAAAGTGACATTAGAAAAAGTGCCAATGGATACCAATCAATCTTGGATTGATTGGTATTTATCTGAGCCAAGGGGAAAATACCAAGTTAAAATTGATAAAGAGTACATAATGAATGCATTCAATTACTATGGTATACGCCAAAAGGTTAATTTATTTTCTGCAGCATTAGAATTGATGGTAAAGAACTATTACCAACCTATAAATATTGATGAAGATGATAAATCTAAACAAATTATTATTGAGCAGCAAGCTGAAATGCTTTATGGCCTAATACATGCAAGATATTTGCTCACCAATGAAGGATTGACTAAAATGTACGAAAAATATATTAATGGATGCTTTCCAAAGTGTCCTCGCAAACTATGCAAAGGAATGACTTGCTTGCCGTATGGTGTGTCCGATGAACTCAACGAATATTCGGTAAAATTATTTTGCCCTTCATGCAAAGAAATCTACAACATGCCAGATAATAGTATGGCGACTGTTGATGGTGCATATTTTGGTCCATCATGGGTTAATCTTTTTATTTCAAAATACTCGAGTCTTTTTAAGAATATTAATATAGAAAAATACGTTCCCAAGATATATGGATTTAGGATTCAGTCTCAGTTTTACGAAAATCATGATGAGGAAGAAACTCTATCATGAATCTTTTAAATTATGCTTCTCTACTTCATAAATTACTATCACACATATGGTACATATTGATAATAATTACAAAACATCAATTATATGCTTTTTCAAAGATTATTTATCAAAACACCGAAAGCATTGAAAATCAGAGATTGATATATATGTACCAATACATACCCGATGCTACCAATATCATTTTTACACGATTTTAATGAAAATATCTCATTTTCATTATAAATCGACTGTTTTCTATGTAGCTTAATATATTGAGATCAGAAAACATACCATTTTATCTGATGAATGATTTTACTTTATGCAAATAAAACATTTTGAAAATTAAATTAGAAATAATTATATTAAAAAAAATTCAGTTTTGCATGCTTTTTATGCATATATCTGGCCAATTATGCTTGTACATTAACTTATTTTTGAATTAGCATTTAGATTCCCTCAACATAAATATGAAATTTCGTCATATTCGAAAATTATTGCATAGAATATCGTATATGTTTGCAAGCAAATTTTTAAGAGTATTTGATGAATTGCTTTTGAGAAATGAAATTTTGGATTTTTATAAGAATTATTCTTCATAAAACATCCGCTCTTAAAACATCTATGTGGATCATAGATTATAGCTACAACAGGTCGAATTTGAATCTAAAATATAACATTGAAAATCTTTTGGGGTAAAAGCATAACCGGAACAATGGAATTGGGTTTTACTGGTTCTTGAAAATCCATAATTATACTATGGAGAGCTAATCAGAACATCAAATTTTTATAAAAAATCTGACAAAAATTTGAAAATTTACGCTTTTACTTATGTTCCCTATATTTAATTTCCCAAGGATGATACCATCACAGCAAAATAGATCATATTTCAGCTTATTTGACCGCTCACGTAATGCATTTTATCCTAATCATAACCAAGTTTCGAATTCAGACGATCAAACAATAAATCACCTTTTTCAATACCCACCTGGCGCTGCATTTAAAGTTAAAAATGACTCTAGAACGTTATCATTAATTGGAGTTTTAAGAGACGGAAACGTTTTATTGTGCGACAATAATACTCAAACCCTTGAATGGTATAAAATAGAAGATATTGAAGAGGTTTAACTAAGATATGTATTAATACAACTTCTACATGCTGTTACAGTAAATATTGTCATGATATTGAAAAAAAGATTTAAACGAAATGCATTGTTATTCAGTTGTCGATTTGCTATTGTGAATCATGTTGAACACAGCTTTCCTTAGCTCATTATCTTAAAATGAAATGATTTTTCATACAATTTTGGCATTTTGATATAAGCTTTTGCTATCCCATACATTTAAATGATGATGTGCACCAAACTACAAGCCTTGTATCTCTTTTATTCCACCATTGAATAGAATCTGCTAAAATTGAAATCTCTTCATTTCAAAATAAACGCTTTTTAAAAGGCGTTTGTATTAAGGCAGAGAATTGGAAGTTATGATATTTAAGTTAAAATACTCAAATATAATAGGTTTTCAATTTTTTTTTTCTGAAATCATTTTGAGAAATTTCTGAAACAAAAATGTTCATAATCGAACTTTTGAATTCGATTTATACACGAATTTTTAAAATATAAATTCTTTAGAAAATTAGATAAATGGAATTGGGTCTCTTGAATTATTAACGAGTGGAATCGTAACTTTATACCGTAAATGACACTATGGAGCTAGATGAATATAATTTTGAACAAAGAATTTTATCCGGCATAGCATTGAATTTCGAACGATAAATTTATTATTCCCTTGCATTCAAAATATTTTTCAATTTTTTGATGAAAAATTATTTTAGAATGAAAGAAAAGTGCGAATTGTCTTGCAAATTTTGAATTAGCAGCATTTCCAATAGTTGTTATAAAAACAACTATTGGATTTTCTTCTCCACTGAGGATAATCTCGGTGGAAATAAGCCCCTAATGGGGTATTTAGTCAAGAAAAATAATTCTTGACTAAAGTATTACATCCCTCTCAGGAGGTAAATATAAATGATATTAATCATTTAATAAATAATTTATTTTAGATGCTATTTTCTTTTTTTTTTGAAAAAAAGATAGGAATCCTGCCGGCAAACAATTTAATGGGCACCATCTTTGATGGAGAACGAGCAAATGCTCGTTCGGAGGTCGTTTGCCGCCTCTCTCTATATAGACAATTATATAAATAGATAAAATATTTTTATATATGAATATGACTTTTTAGCATAATGGGAAGAATCATGAAATGAATCTAGAAGTATCAGGTTCAAATCTGCAACCTTTCAATTTTTCCCCAAAATATTTTTCTTAGTGCCTAACTCAATTTAAATCACCAAACAGCTGAAGTATGAAAGAATAATTTCAATATATACTTCTTTAAGAGCTTCTGTGCTTGATTAACAAATATGATAACTTTGTTTCTTCAAATTATTTGATTATCATATGTATTCGTTCCATTTAAATTAGAACCATGTATATATATACAAACAAAATATGTGAATGAGAACATTGGAGTTGATAAATTGAATAAAAATTTTGAGATATCGATATGAATTCTGAAATATTTCGCTCTTAATCAATCAGGACAATTGATTTCATAGATTCCAAACATTCTAAGCTAAAATCTGCTGAAAACGAATTAATGTTATAAATGGTGAATTTTGTAAATCAATCCACTTTATTTTTTATTACATTTGAAAAATAAAAAAATAAATTTATGGAATTAGATCTTCCCGCCATTCTGCGGTCAGCGTATGACCTCAAACTTCCTGCGGCAGATCTATCAGATGTACTTACGGCACTTGTCGAAGATTCTGAAAATTTTTCACTTCCTGAAGGCGAATTAGATTATGTAGCAGCATTATTGCACAATTTTTACAGCTTAAACTCTCTTGCAATTAAAGCAGACGTATTAAAAATATTTTTATCAATAGAAATGTCTCGATCTGACTTAATTGTTGAAAAATATCACGTTGACATAATTATTGCAGAATCAATTGCACGACCAAGGCCTGATCCTCCACCAAAAGTTGATACAGAGAAAGCAGCAGCATTTTCATACATATATTACTTACTAAATTATCATAATCTTATACCGCGTACGGTATTAACAGCTATCATTTCTTTGGTGCAGCAACCGGATAAGTTCTATGAGTCGCTTGCGATTGCTTACCTTTGCGATGCAATTCTCTCAATAGACATGACTGACACATTTCCAGAAATTTTTCCATTGATTATCAACTACATTCAGGAAAAACAATCCCCAGCAGTATGTAGTCTTATAACTTACGGTCTAGAGAACAGATTTTCAGTGATTTCCGATCCAAATACATTAAGAGCTTTAATTACACCATATGCCTACATCGTTGACAATAACTTCCCTCCCCATGCTGCTGATTCACTATTAGCGATCCTCCGTACATGGCCTGGCTTATTAATTTTCGGAATTAGAAACAAAGGAATTAAAGAATTGATACAATGCTTTGAACACTCACCTCCACGTGTTTCTAGTATTATATCTAGTCTAATTAAACCATGTATCCAAGCTCCATCCCTCATTTCCGGTTTTTGTGGAACATTAATTTACATAATTCAAAATTCAGAACTTCCAAACATTATCCATCTATACACACAAACACATAATGATGTGAAACGCTTAGGAAACAATCTAAGAATGATTTTGAAAAATGATTTCGCAACGAATGGCAAATTTGCGATTGCAAGAGCTTATGATTACTCGAACTCGACCACATTTGCAGAGGATATTGCTTCTATTGTCCCCGTTGTTGTTTCTCAGAATCCAAATGTCTGGGACTGGCAATTGATTAAGAATTTCCTTACTTATGTTATCCCTTATTCCTCAAACGAGACACTGAATGTTCCCAAACAGTTTTATACCAATATTTTGGAGTATTTCGGATCAAACTTCCTCACATTAACTCATCAGAAAGTTTTAACCGTTGCTCCAGTTATGATGTCTCTCATTCGGTACCTCATCAAGTTCCAATGGGGAACAGATATCCTTGACCAAGACAAAACGTTCACAAGGATCATTCGAGCGGCATTATTGAAAGTCGCCTCGCCAAAGGCCATCGAATTCATTTCTCCAATATGGAGCATCATAGATATGTTCGCTTTCTTACTCTCTAATAAGAGCGGAGTTGGAATTTTAAGTCGATCCGGATATCTTGATGAAATTCTTGCATTCGGGAACGATCTCTCACATCAATACAATTTCGAAATGTTCTGCAGTAAGATAACATTTACCGATGAAGCAAGTCTTACAATTCCTGTTTTTTCGAATATTCTTCTGAAAGCTTCACGTCAATTTCATCAAATCGCGCTCAATATTCTCAAAAAGAAGCGTGAACAGACTGAGGATTATGCAACCAATGTCTTCCAAAAACTAATTATTCCATATGCTTTTACATTAAATCAGCTTGGTCAAGAAGATAAACTTGCAGACGTTATTCATTTCATATGTGATATCGTTTCCGCGGACAAAACTGCGCTTTCTTTCTGTGCAAATACGGAAGGATTACATCCGATCTTTTCTAAGCGTTTCAGATCACTTTACCCATACATTTTGTCACATGAAAATGCTCTAAAGTACCTCAATCTCGAAGAAGAGATAGAATGGTGGATCGGAGAAGGGAAATCATTTGTTGAAAGTTATGATGCAGCGTACGACTTTGCCTTTTCTGGCAAAGAATATACATATCCTGTACATCTTTTTGGTGAGCTTGCGCAAACAAGAAAAGGTTGCGGAGCAATTTCCGGATTTATTGAGAAAGTTTTTAACCAAATTTTATCAGAGGATATCGTAGAAATACGCTCAGCAATACTGGCAATCGGATACTTTGCTTCTTCTCCTTACGCGAACGCTTACATTTCATCGTCAAATATCGTTAAGCGTTTAATAGAATCGATCTTGCCAACACCATCACCAATCCTTCTTGGAACACTCATTGCATCACTTTCCATGTTCCAACGTACACAAGATTTCATTACAACCCTCGAAAGTCTGAATTGGAAAGTTTTTTACTTTTCAAACCAAAGTTGCGTCATTCCAAACGACTTTGATGAAGTCCTTGTCCTAGATTCACCCGTGAAAAAGAACATTCAACATGTTCCAAACATTCCTGGAAAAGAGAAGATCTGTAATCTCATCAAAGGTCTCTCGAACACAGTTGTTGGACAGGATACAATAGATTTGATCCAAGAATACGAACCGAAATCAGATTTCAAGACGCCAAATGTTCACGTATTTGTCGGAAAAGTTCTCGGTGAATATGCATTTTCTATCGATAGAAGAGAAATCGTTGAGAAGATAGTTTCGGGATCATCGTTAATGGAACTCCCAGCAAATAGGATCAGTGCCAAAAGACTTGCAATGGGTGCAGCAATTGCGGCATCATGCAAAGTTACATTCACTGCAATATCGCAGTATAAAGTGCCTAATATTCCTCACGCGCAAATTTCAAAGAAAGCCCCGCAACTACTGTATCCTGAGGTTTACTTAAGCGATGATGACTTCCAGAATGTGCTGGGAACAAGTAGAACAAGCTTTTACTTCATGCCAGCAGCTCAGCAAACGAAGTTAAGACAAAAGATATTTGATTCACCACCATAATATAAAAGAAATACTTATTAGTTTGATTTTTATTATAAAATATTGGTTATTTCATCTGTTATGCGAAATTCAAAGTTTATGCTTGACTAGTTTATCTGAAAAATTTTAAAACATATTTGGAATCAATGTCATGCATCTGTTTTGACTAAGTAATAATCGAAATTTCAATATTTATTGTAGATTTGCAGAATTACTTCAATGAAAATAGTATCAAAATATAATCCCAGTCTCTAAAGAAAGCATTTAATTTATTGACGAATCAAAAAATAGCAAATTTAAACAAATATTTTACTGATTAAGAAGAAAATTTCAGGATTGAGTATTGATTCTAATATTTTATTTTGGATTCAAACTCGAGTCAAAATGAAAACATATTTTTACAAAAAAAAATGCTATACAAAATTTTGTTATATTCAAAGGTACATTCACTAGGCGATAACAGTAAAATGGGATGAAAATAGGATAAATAGCATCCCTATATAGTGCCTAACAATATTTATACGGGCCAAAAAAAATTTGGCTAGAGATTTGGCGAGTTATAAAACTTAGAAAATTGAGAGGGATTTTTATTTTTGAATTATTTTTGGAAAGTTAAAATTGCGATTAAAAATCGATTTCCAGGAGAACTAAGCATCTCATCATATATTTAAATCGATAAAAATATTAAATAATAGTTGAATAGTATAACAGCGTGAAATTATGGCTGAATCTACAGAAAAAATGAACATATTTGACATTTTTGAAAATTCATACGTTAGATGGTGACAGACTCATAAACTATACTTTAGCTAAGATTAATATATGGTTTCAACAACACATGGTTAAAATCGTAAAAATATTTTAGATTTCAAAAAGATATATATGGTAATATAATGGAACAAAGTCAACAAATAGCATGTTAAATATGTTATAATTAACTTTTTATTAGATCCAATAGTAGATATCGAATGGTTTCCAGCTTTATGGTTAAATATTTTCTTTTCGAGCTTCTCTTTAACTGTTGTATTAAGGTTGTAAATTTTTGATGCTAGAAACTATGGAATCTTCTTTGCTGCTGCATTTTTCTTGAGAGTTCTTGCAATTTCGAATAGATCTGCGCATTGTATGAAATGGAGGCTTTAAAATATCTTGAAAACAGAATAGGACTGCTTTTCCAAAGGAATGCTTACTTGTAAATCAGAGAGTTTCAAAATTGACACCAAGATTATCATCATAACTTTCGATTTTGCTGCGAAAAAGGAAGACAAGTAATTAACAAATCATTTACTGTTGTTCATCAAAAGAAGAAAACTTTGATAACAACTAATGATGATAAAATCAAGCTATCTTTTAATATTTTCAATTGATAAGACATTCAAAATATTTGAATGGTTTAAAATATTTTCTTTTAATTTCTATAAGATATTATCATGATTATATAATAAAATTTAAATTTTTATTCAAAAAGGCAATATTTCAAACTTTTAATTTCAAAAATCTTAATTCTGCAATAAGTGTATTTAATTGTAGCAATTTTAATGATCCTTCGTCATGCTTAGCAATTTGGAACTCATAAATTAATGATTTCTTCAAGTAAAATTCTGCATTATTTCAAAAGTCAATAATTCTCTAGTAACTTTTCTTCAAACCCTAACCATTATATTATATGTATAATGGAAAATAATTGCAAAGAAAGATAGCCGAATTTACTGGGTAGTTCTTGTGATGCGAAATAATTGCAAATTAACACCTAGTTTTAACAGCATCAATCTCTTTTTGCTCTCATTTAATGCATTCGCACAAGTACAGTATACATTGTGCGTCGCCTGTAGCCTACAGCTACAGGCACCGACACAATGAAAAAGTGACAGAAAACTGACACCATACGGGCGCGCATATGTACGCATATATGTGTAAAAATAAACGTTCATATGTAAACTAACCTTTATTCACTAGCAGGGGCTGATAAATCATAATCGTCGAGAAGTACGATAGGTGGTCCCACAGGTTTAATCTGTATGGAGAGGCAAACGTGACGTAAGAAGCATAACACTGGTTTCTCAGTATATTTAATAGACTCTGCTGTTGGCTTAACTGTAAGCTTATAAAAGAAGCAGATCACGGAGGCAAAGAAACGCTTACATCAACTCCTTGATGAACAATAAGCTTACTTAAGACTAAACAATTAATTATACTAACTTTTATACTTTTTCTCTTTTCCTAAGTTGATCGTGATCACAAAGATCGTGATCTGAGTGACAATGAACTATAAGTTATATGAGGATATATGTGAGTAATATGAGTAAAAATAAGAGTTATAGTAGTAAAATTAGGTGTTTATTCGTGGTTTAGAGGAGGGATCAGAAGCCAGTGGCTAAGTTCCTTATGGCGCGCTTTAATTCATGGTAGGATGTGTCAGCCTTAAGGAACCTTTCATGCCAGCTGTCTGACTCATGTCCCACACGGTTGAGACGAGATCGAAGATCGCAGATCTCGTTGGCATAAGAGTCAACTTTATACTCAAGCTGGCTGATGTAGAGCTCTTTACCTTTCGCTTCCTCTACTTTTTCAGCCAGCTTGAGCTTTAGTTCCTCGAGAGCTACGTTTGACTCCTCCAGCTGCTTCAAATACTTGTGGCTGGTCTTGATTAAACGTAGCTCTCGAGGAGTAGCTCGTGGACCCGTTTTCTTTGCCGTTTGCTTGTGATCGAGATCTGGGATCTTGATCTCGGTCTTCGGACTCTCGCCACCCATCAATATTTCCTCGTCGCCAGAGGACTGTTCTTCAGTCACCTCTGGCTTCTGGATGGCAAGAGTCTTAGCAGGAGCTTTGTTGTTCGCTTCCATTAAAATGTAAACTTTACGTGTCAAAAAAATTCTGTCACGTAAACTATTTATGTTGAGATTGAGTACCAGACTCTAATATAAGTTCAACCATTATATTAGAGTCTTTAGGAATTTCATATGGTTCTTTTACATAATATTCCTTTTTTTGACCATCAGTTGATTCTTCAACTCTTTTGAATGAAAAGCGCTTATAAAACTCAAACACGAGTGCATCTTTATAACCAGTGATATCATAAAATTTTGGTGGCACAAGCTGTTCATTCACATTACATATAAATTGTTTGTTATCATGAGCAATATTACTCAACGTTACTAAAGGCTCAAGGAGAGGATTTATTCTTATCTGATAACCGACAAATTTATATGTTGGTTTGCCCTTTCGCTCAAGGATAAACCTGATATTCGCTATAGTTATGAAAAGCTCATCAAAGTACTTATATGTTTTTTTATCTTTATCATTTTCGTCAGTGAAATCTGCTATGGTAAAACTATAATATACATGCATTCGCGAGATATATTTTTTTTCCCATAAGTCTAAAAATTTTGCTTTCGATGGAATTACTTTTTGCGTGAATGTTCTACCATGGTCATCTTCCCAAACAAGCTCTGGTTTTCTTGATGTTGTGTCTGTTTCAGTGGTTTCTAATAACGCAGTGATGAAATCCAACACATCTCCTAGGGACATGTCATATTTATAATTCAAGGCATTTTTTTCTATACTACTGTATGAAGGTAATGTTATGATTGGTGATGTACCTTTTCTTAATACATTCAATTTATTTTCATTTGAATCATAGTAACAATCAACAAATTCTCTACTTGCCTCAGTCATTTTTTCCATAAGACCTTCATTCAACTCCTGTGTAGTCATGTTGGGTTTTATGTAATATCTCATGTCAAACCTTTTTTTCACTGATTTTGATGAATCTGTCATTTCTAATGGAATAGCAAGAAACTCAAAGTCTGGATGCTCAAGACTTATCTTTCTTATCTCAAGAGCTTTTGACGCAGGATATTCAATGAAGTCTCTCGGTAATTTATATGAGACTGTATTACCAGAAACAATAAGAATTACCGAAAAAGTGACAAAACATCAAAAACAGGGAGGGGGTCTCAATTTTTATTACTTATATTATTTTACAATATTTATATAAATACTCTTTATAATATATTTTACTATAAAATTATACCTCAAATTCAAATATTTAAAATATTATTTACATAATTATCTCAAAATTATATTTTTATATATTATTTTTCATATGTATAAATCATATAATCTATATCTATGCAAATCTCATCTAAAATTTTTTGAAACAAACCGCTACCATTTTATAATGGTCCATCTTAAATTCATCATAAATTCTGGTACATGTTAGTACCAGAGTCTTCAAATCTCAAACACTCTGGTACCAACATGTACCAGACGCGAGTTTCCAATGCCCTCGTACGATTTTCTATTAAGATCTTCTTGAATGAGAAGGTCTTCATAGAAACTCGTACGAGGGCTTCTCTTTTAAATACTCTGGTACCTGCTGATATCGGAGTCGACTTTACAGCCCTTTCCCCAATTTTGAAGCTGGGGAAAGTTTTCAAGCAATGAAAGGGAAGCTCTCGCTATGAGGTGAAAATCTAGAATTTTTACCTCATAGCGAGTATCCTTTGTTAATTGCTTGAAAACTTTCTTCAAATTATCAAAATTTCGAGGAAAGTTTCCTTGCTTCAAAGTAGAGATGGAGCCCTTTGAGCCACTGCATATAGGTCAGTGACTCAAAATACTCCATCTCTACTAGAAATCGCCAAAATTTGTGTCGCAATCTTTGAAATGCGACGCAAGTTTTGGCAATTTCGCGAGGGACTTGCTCCATTTGGTGCATAGATTCACACTCTATGCACCAGATGGAACAATTCTTTCGCTAACAGCGGGAAACTTTGTCTGAATAGTTTAACATTCAGACAAAGTTTTCCGCTGTCAGAGAGGGAATGGAAGGGTAAGAGGTATATATTCATAATGTATACCTCTTACTCTTCCATTCCCTCAAGAAAGTTCAAAAACTTGGGTGCAATCAGAACTGATTGCACCCAAGTTTTTGAACTTTATATAAGGAATTGTTGGCTATGATGTACTGATCATGAATCAGTACATCATAGCCAACAATTCCTTCGCAAACAGTGGAAAACTTTGTCTGAATAGTTTAACATTCAGACAAAATTTCCCGCTGTCAGGGAGGGAATTAGAGGGTGGGAGATATATAGATAGACTATAAATCTCTCACCCTTTAATTCCCTCAAGAAAGTTCAAAAACTTGGGTGCAATCAGAACTGATTGCACCCAAGTTTTTGAATTTTGTATAAGGAATTGTTGGCTATGATGTGGATAGCCGCTGCCAGACCAAATGAATTAACCGTTGTGAATAACGTTTCTGAATCTTTATTTAAAAAGATAAAATATCACGATTTTGGCTGCGTTAAAAATCAAAGAATTGATGTTTTTGTCAAAAATCTTTTAGAAGAAGTTGCACCCAATTACTTTTATCGTATTAAAAACGATTTACTTCAAACAGGTTTTATTCCTTCAATTAGAATTCGCGAGCCTCGATTGACAGATTATAAAACAAAATTGAAAAGAGAAGTTCAATCACGTTTATACCAAGTATTAAATTTTGTTCAGAATCAAGAAGCCAATTTGAATCCATTAAGATTTTTATTGGAAAATGCTGAAGAAAAACTTTCTCAAATAAATGAGAAGATACAAAATTCAATTACATATTTAAGATCGTTTGAAATTCCAAATGAATTGTTAGATACGTATATGTTAGAAATTAATGAATTTTGTTATAATTATCCAGATTATATTTTAGAACATTTCGAAGAATTTTTAGAGGATTTCAAAGAAAAGAATAATTTAATAGACTAAAAAATTTATTATTTTTATTTATTGTGAATTTTAAATTGTCACTTTTTAAGTGTTACTCCCTATTGAAAGTGTCACTTTTTTGGGTGTCACTTTTTCGGAAATTCTTATATACTCCTTATCTTTCTTATCTCAAGAGCTTTTGACGCAGGATATTCAATGAAGTCTCTCGGTAATTTATATGAGACTGTATTACCACTTATCGTGCCATCATTCATAACATGTTCATAGTATAATCCATCATATTTAGACATTTTATATGTAACTAAAAGATGGAGAAAGTTATTAATCAAGTAGATAAGATTCTTCATGATGGAGCACGTAAGAATAGTAAAGAACTAAACAATGCACTCATTATGCCATTTTCTGATGATTATCCATTTTGTACTAATGGTGTTTATTTCTACTGCGGTAAGATGGGTTCAGGTAAGACATATGGTGTTATTCGTCATATAATGATAACAGACCGCTTCACTAATACTCCATATTATGACTCAATAGTTATCTCAGCAACATCAGGAACAATGGATAAAACAGCGAAGACATTTATGAGTCAAGTTAAAGCACCAGTACTGAAAAAGGATGATAAAGAACTTATGCCTTATTTAATGAAGAACGTTAAGATGAAAGCAAAGTATTACGCTATTGTTGAGTTCGTTCAAAGTAAGTTCGAAAAAATTTCAGAGGAGATGGAACACATCTTAACAAAGCATCAACTAAGGAAACCTGATGGAAAGTTTGAGTATAAGAAGATTGCAATATATGTTGTAAAGAAGTTGAACAAATATCCTTTCACAAAGTATCCCAGTAATTCTCTATTAGTGTTAGACGATTATGGTGGTCATGACTTATTGAATGACCCACGTTCACCATTAGCGAACTTCATCACTAAGGTCAGACATTATAACTATACTGTTGTCATCATGTGTCAAACATGGAGACATATATGTTTAAACATTAAGAGACTATGCACTGACTTCGTTATCTTTCAAGGTTATTCTATGAGAGACTTTCAGTCAATGATTGAACAGTCAGGAGCAACAGAAGATTGGGAAGAGTTATGGAACAAATACAAAGAGCTACCAACACCTCGTTCATATATGGAAGTTCATATAGTTGCAGGAAAGACGGACTTTAAAGAAGTTAAGCAACAAAAGATGACATTATTTTAAGAAGAAATAAATGGGTTTTGGCGATTATGTTAAAGCTGGATGGGGTATGGTGAAAAAAAATCCTGGTCTTGTAATAGGTGCTGGATTTAACATTGCTAACAAACTTTTCCCTCAAGTTGGTCAAGTCGGTGGTGTTATCGGTAGTCTTGGTGAAAGAATTGCAAAAACTACATTAGGTGAAGATAATGCATTAACGAAGAATCTTAAAGCATTCAATAAAGCTCTTGGTGGTGACTTCAGTAGAGACAAGCCTGTTGAAACACCTATAGTTCAACCTCAACAAACTATTGACAACAATAAGTATAACGCATACATTGGAGGAGCTATTTGGAACAATCATAAGCCATTAGTTCAGTCAGTACGTGTACTATCAGACATGCCATGGATTAATGCTATTAGTGGCACTATACGCAGATAATATATTTTTATGAGGTTTAAATGAGTGAACAAGAGAGGAAACTCATTGATGAACGAGTTAAGAAATGGGAGAATGAACGTCCGATAATTCGTACCATAATTAGCGATCAAAAGTTCAAGCAGCATACATTTGATTTTTTGCGCGATATATATAATGATCTTGCTTTTGATTACAATGCTAGGCAATACTTTGAGAAAGAATATGTTCAAAAAGGTCGTATTAATTTCCCAATGAGAAGAGAAGGCTTTTTGATTACATCAACATATACAGCACGTGGTAGAGACCCTTTTACAGACGCGGTTCGTAACTTTAAAGCACGTTCTTCTATTAATGATGATCCAGATTTCTACATACCTTATTTTCGTCCACCTTCGCATCCTTTACGAACCAGTGATCCTGGATATGACGCTAAACGAAGATATATAGAGACGAAATTAGCTAAATACAAGGAACCTAAGGATCCAAGGACTGGAGAAGTAAAGGAATCACATGTCAAGATAAATAAGCTTTACAAAGTAGTTGAAGAATTGGAGAAACGATCTAATGAGATTAACGCTGAGAAGAAAAAGGAAGTACCAAATATGAACAAACTAGATAAGATGATTAAGGAATATAGAGGATTGGCGAATACATCGAGCGTTCTAATAAAGGAAGTAGAAAACACGACAAAGCTGCAGAAAATGATTCATGATGAATTACTGTTAGGTGAATTTTCTATAAAACAAAGACAGAGTAACTTAATGGGTGAGGCTTATTATTTGGAGAATTGGTATAATGAGAGGTTAAAACAAATGTCGACTCCAACACCAACTCCTACACCTACTCCTACAGTAGCTCCAACACCAACTCCCACTCCTGAACCAACAGTAGCTCCAACGCCAACTCCTACAGTAGCTCCAACGCCAACTCTGACACCAACTGCTCACGCAGGTCCTCCACCAATGTCGAGTAGTCATGGTATAACATTAAATAAACCAACACCTACACCAAAAATAACTCCTGTATCACATCCTAGTACAACTAACCCAGTATCTGATTCAAATCAAGCGGAAAGATCACAGGTTCTTAAAAGAGCTAATACACCAACTGCTTCCCCTATTAGAACACCAGAGCCAACTCCAAGAATCACAAAGGCGCCAACACCTTCACCGACTGTTGAACCAACTCCAGAACCAACAGTACCTCCAACTCCATCTCCAACTCCATCACCGACACCTACAAAAGCACCTACTCCATCTCCAACTCCGACTAAAGCTCCGACACCGTCTCCAACACCAACTAAAGCTCCAACACCGTCTCCAACTCCAGCTGAACCAACTGATGCAGAATCTATTCAAAATTGGTTAGACGAAGAAAAGCGAAAAGAAAAGGCTGCAATTGATGCTGCACTAGATAAAAACACACCACCACAGACACTTGGTGGTTACATGTTAAAGAAAGACAACATTCAAAGACAAGAACGTGCATTGAGTGTTGCCAGAGAACAAGCACAAGAAGAGAAGAAAATAGTTGAAGGAGAAGCTTCAAATAGAGGTGGTCCAGGAACTTACAAAGGATCAAACTATCCAGCAGAGAAAGCCTCGAGTGATAATGTTGTCTCAAGAGCTACTGATTTAGTTACCCATGGTATTCTAACTGGTGCAACAGCTGTTGGTAGTGCTATTGGAACCAGTGTTGACACTGTTGTTGATACTGTAAGAACTGTTACAAATCCTACACCTGAAGATAGGAAGGAAGAATTTCTTACTCTTAATACAAAGGCAAAACCAGGGATATGGATTGGTCGTGGAATTTTAAATGCTGGTAGTGCTATTGGCAATGGTGCTTCAGCGGTAGGGGGATGGCTCGGAAGAACAGCAACATCAACCGCAAATGGAATACTAACAGGTGCCAAATCACTTGGTAATTGGGCTGATGATAAGTATACAAAATATTATGAAGAAAAAGCTCGTAAGGCTAAGGAAGAAGCTGAACGAAAGGCGAAAGAAGAAGCTGAACGTAAAGAACTAGAGGAGCTTAAGAAGAAAGAAAAAGCTCGTAAGGCTAAGGAAGAAGCTGAACGAAAGGCGAAAGAAGAAGCTGAACGTAAAGAACTAGAGGAGCTTAAGAAGAAAGAAAAAGCTCGTAAGGCTAAGGAAGAAGCTGAACGAAAGGCGAAAGAAGAAGCTGAACGTAAAGAACTAGAGGAGCTTAAGAAGAAAGAAAAAGCTCGTAAGGCTAAGGAAGAAGCTGAACGAAAGGCGAAAGAAGAAGCTGAACGTAAAGAACTAGAGGAGCTTAAGAAGAAAGAAAAAGCTCGTAAGGCTAAGGAAGAAGCAGATAGAAAGGCGAAAGAAGAAGCAGATAGAAAGGCTAAGGAAGAAGCTGATAGAAAGGCGAAAGCAGCAACACCATCGCCAACTCCATCTCCTTCACCATCACCAACTCCATCGCCATCTCCATCTCCTTCACCATCAATAGCGGCTCCTGTGAGACAATTTGGTGCATGGGGTGCTGATTTAGTCAAAGATGCTGCACAAGGAATTGGAAAGGAACTGAAGAACACAACATTAGGTACAATAGAGCGTTTTGGTAATCTTACGGATTACACAATTAGATCAGCTGCTAATCTTTTATATAACCAGACTACTGATAACGGTACTGATGAATTGGCTGTAAACGGACTAGCATCAATTAAGAAATCAGCAGAAGATAAATACGATGAATGGAAAAAGAATATTAAGGGTGAATATAATAAGTATGCATATCCTGAAGAACATATGAAGTTAGAGCTTACCAGACTAAGATCAAAATATGGTAATGAAACAACAAATACTACAACGCAAACGACGAAAGCTGACAGAAAGATTGATGACACTCCTACTCCAACTCCTGCAATGGCGAACATCACAACAATTGCTCCAAGAGTTCCAACAGGAGAAGGTATATCAGGAAATGTTTCAACTACTCATAACATTACTGAAGCAGCTAATGTTTCAGCAGTTGAGCAACCTGTTGTTAATGTAACTCAGGAAAACGCTACTGAAACATCAACACCAAGACAGGATGTAAATAATGAACGTCCAGAAGTTAAGGAGGTTGCAAAAGCATACCTGGAGAAAAATACTACACAAGTTCTTGAAGCAGAAAAGCATCTCAATTCAGACAAAACACCATCTCCAACTCCTGAAGCATCAGTTCCTCCAGCAATTGGTGGAAATATACCTTCAGTATCACCATGGCAGAAATTTTATGGATTGTTTAAAGGAGCGAATAAGGTAATGGATGCTGCTGAGAATCTCCAAAAGTTCAAGAATGAAGTCGCAACTGGTGCAAAGGAAATAGAAGAGAATGATAAACAAGCTGCTGAATTAGCTAAACAACAAGCTGAAGCAACTAAACAAGCAGCAGCTCCTAAACAATCTATATCTAAGTCTCAAAGACAAGGTCCTGACCCAAGTGCTAAAGTCAAACAGAATCCAACACCACCTGCAGCAGAGAAGTCCAAGAAGGACAAGGACAAGAAGAAGGATAAATCAAAGAAGGACAAGGACAAGAAGAAGGATAAATCAAAGAAGGACAAGGACAAGAAGAAAGATAAGGATAAGAAAAAATCGTCAAAAGATAAAAAACATAAAAATTTATCCAGTAAGAAATGAGTCAAGTCATTAAAGCATCAACTAAACAAAAGTGGTTAACTGAATATATAAAAGATGGTAAGGTTCCTGATGGATATTCTGTACATACAATGAAAGACGGACGTGTACAGTTCCGTAAAGTCAAGCAACCTCTCAATGATGAACAGATCAGAAGGAAGATCTCATTGTATGAAACAAAAATAAAGGACTTACAAGCTAAACTCGAAACCCACGATACTTCTCAAGAAAACTAGGCATATCTTTAACATGACCTTCATTAATATTTTTCCTCCAATACTGTACTTCCATTTGTGACAACCTGTTTGGATTACCTTCACGCATACCTCTACCTGTCACTTTTCCTGTATTTTCGTTCTCAAACGTAACATCATACTTTACATCATTACCGACAAGTTCATGACCATCAATACTTTTAACAGCACCGTGTCTTCCTTGATCTAAAGTTTCTCCTTGCTTTAATCCATGCTCTATTTTTGTCCATATCTGATAACGTGGATATCTTGCAACACTTCCATCTTTTGCTCTTAACAAGTATGCACTTGTATCAACTGAATCAACTGTATAATAAGAAGGATCAAGATGTCTTCTTTGTTGGTTACCTTTACCCCATGTTCTTGGTTCAACTATGACTTGAACTTTTTGACCAGGTCTTAAGTTATAAAGGTTATTTTTTCTGACATACTCTTCTTTCAATCTTTGCTTCTTTATATATTCCTCATTATCCTTTTCTGTGAAATCATCAGGCTTTTGTTGTGTGCTTGAATGATATTCAGTGTTGTAGTCATTAATAATTTGTCTCATTGTATCTGCAGTGAAAGGTGGTGTTTTATCACCTTCTTTGAGGTTTAACTTCATATGTAACATAGTTCTAATAGTTCTACAGAACCTATTAATAATACCTAGTATGTTATGATTGTATTTCTGTGTCGTCATGTGCTCAATGTTATGACTGACCAACAGATCTCGAACATTTTGTGTCGTATAAGCTGGGTCTTCATCACTAGTAAGTATTGTAGGCTTCATTTCACCTGTAGCTTGTGAAATGAACTTCTGCATTGCACTTAGAACATTGTTTGAGTTCTTTTCACTCATTGGGAACGCATAACCTTTTCTACTGTTTACATTGATGAACAAAAGAAAATATGGTGGTGTTCCACCAGGATTCTCAAATGTATCGAATTGATAAGCTCCCATATCAGTTGAATATATTGGTAGCATCAAATCCTCTTGTATTAAAGTTTTTTCTTGTTTACCAACAGTCATTTTTTTATTAACGTTAAAGTCTTACAGGCATTGAGTAATCGCTATAACCATCATGGTCTGCGAATTCATGTAATCTTGATGCATCAGGTTCTTTCTTCGTTGGTGCATGAAACCTTGCTTCATCATAAAGGTTCATATAATGGTTTGTCACGTTTGGGGTAGACCCAATTTTTGCATATTGAGGATATGAGTAATGATACACTAAGTTGAACCCATTACTACCATCATCAACATATATCTTTGGTGGAGGTTGTCTTATTAAATTCCTTCCTCTTGGGGCTTTGAGTTGGACGATCTGATCTAGATCATTGTAAACAACTCCTGTTGCAGTATATTCTGTGTTGTTCTCTGGGTTAATGTTCGTCATTTATATGAGAATAAAACAATTTTTACTCATAACAAATGAGATCGAAGTCAATTCTTTATGGTGCAGCTAATCTTCCAATTGAACCAACAAGCAATGTTGATTCAAGAACAACTAATAACATTGTGATAAAGAACTATCCATCTGGTACAGTAAGTGATGCTCCAACAGAGATAAAAAAAGAGGAAACAACTACGAACTCAGAAGCACCAATGTATCCTCCTCCTTTAAGTCCATTAACTTCCAACCTGACCTCATCGAGATCTGTGGAGACTTCATCGAGGATTGGTGTAGAAGAGTATTTACTTAGTATATACCAGAAGATACTTCTAGACCAAGACAAAGAGCTCTTTTCTAACTTAGTGAGCAAAGATCAGATCTTACTACCTAAGCCAGACTTGGAAGAAGTTGTTCACAGAATGACTGGGTTCAAGTGTGAAATAGACCTACTGGACCCAGACATCACATGTTGTGGTATTCCACCACCTTTCTCAAAAATAGCTCAGATCAGAATCATTGATGAGAACAATATTGCTCAAGAGTTTAAGTATGCATATAATGCACAATATACTGAGTTAATAAGTAGGTATAATTTATGTCTTAAGTATGTTATTGTTTAACCAAAAAATTTTTTATCTAATGTTAAATATGGTTGTTCAAACAAGAACAAAAGCACAAATGTTTCAAGACTTACTCAATAAAACTTATTGTTTACTCAAGTAATTATTTTAGAACGTTTCGACGTACTCCTTGATCTTATCAAGAGCTTCGAGCATCCGCTTCTTTGCATTGTCCTTGGCGAGGATGGCTTGCTCAATGGTGAGCTCGAAGGCTTCTTTACCGATCGGACGGTGTTCGCGAAGATCTTTGAGTGCATCAAGAGCTGCAGTGTACTCTGATGGTAAATGGGAGCCATCTAGTAATGGGTACAAAATGAGCATGTACTCCTGCAGTAAGTTCTCCTGTTTCAAGCGGGACTTGAACTCTTCGCGGAGATCTTGAAGCTTTTGGAGCTTCTCAGTGGCTTGAAGGTAGTCAATGATGACCTTCTCTTGTCCCTCAAGTGCTTGTGGGAGGAAGTGGACATAAGCTGTTGACTTCATCAAAAATGAAGTGGTCATGACACTTTTTAAGTTAATGTCCGAGCCATACAGTGATGTCGAAGCAGCACATGAACCAAAGAAGAAGTCTTGCTGGGAAAAGACAAAGATTGTTGGTAACGCAATCCTAGCCATTTGTGTTGTTTTGAACTTGATCGTACTTCTGATCTTGTTCTACAAACTCAACAGAGGTTATTGTCTCAAGTAAACACTTATTTTTATTACCATATAAATGATTTTTACCAAACCTCCTTTACCTTTCATAGGTAATAAGTCTAAGATCAGGAAAGATCTTATCGACATACTCAAAGACATCAAAGGGGATTATGTCTTCGTTGACCTCTTTGGTGGTTCTCTCTATATCTCTCATCTGTTGCATATTATGTTCCCAAAAGCAACGATCATAGCTAACGACTATGATAACTACGTTGATAGACTGAAACACATTCATGACACGAATGAAATACTTAAGGAACTTAAGGAGAGAATAAATGTTAAGCCAGATGAGAAAATTCCTACTGATCAGAAAGAGATCGTCAGAGAAGTTATAAGTAAAGCTCCATACATAGACTGGGATACATTATGTTCACGTCTTCTCTATTCTGGAGCATACAAATACTATGATCTTGACACATTAATGAAGAAAGTGTTATACCTCAGATATACTAACTTATTTGGTGAAAACATAGATGACTATCTTGAAGGTTTAACTATTGTTCATAAAGATTGGAGAATACTCTTCAATGAGTATAAAGATCTTCCCAATGTTTTCTTTATATGTGATCCTCCATACTTCCATACTTATTCTATACAGTATGGAGATGAATGGACTCTTAAAGATACTGTAGAAACCTTTGATGTCCTTAATTATCCATCTATTTACTTCAGTAGTGATAAATCTTATACAGAAGAACTTATAGAGATATTGACAAAAAGATATGGAGAAATTTCCTATGAGAAAGCATGTTATAGATAGAGGTTTAATTAATCCTAACACTCAGAAAAATAATGAAGTAATATATGTCACTTTTTCTGTTAATGGAGAAGAGAAAGATCAAGAAGATAATAGTTGATGAGGGAACTGAAGAAGCGACGACATTCATCTTTGACGACGGAAAGCTCACATTCGTTGTCGATAAAAATGGACAACACTTACACAAAAGAAAGAGACCAAGAAAATTTTTAGATCTCCCAAAAGCTAGGAAACCAAAGGAACCATTTCCAGTACCAGACGTCCAAGAACCAGAGAGACTTTTGATACCAAAACCTGTGGTTGACAAATATGATCCAGATCAGTTCTTCCCAAAAATACCAAAGTTAGAATAAAAACTCCTTTATTTCTTTAGTATTATATAATAAGTCTATTAGTAAGCTCTGTTCTCGTTCTGTTCTGGTATTTTGACGTCTTTTCATGGTCTCGCATAATAAGATCATGAACTTTTTCTTGAGATACTCGAAGAGCTGAGGTAAGTTATCATATTCTGGATATGTAGGAAGCATCCCTGCTATCGTAAGTGTTGTATCAATAAGGATTGGACTTATATCGGAAAAGTCGAGATCTGGAGTAGAATAAGAAGGTAAGTCTCTTACATGTAGGTAGTCATTATATGCTTTACGCATGAGACTGAGTTTCTGGAGCACAACTATGAGACTTTGGTTCTGGCGTTCAAGTTTGCTTAAAGTTCTCTCCAAGCTTCTGTAATAAACGTCAACCTCTGTAAGAGCAGATATTTTTGCATTGATCTCGGAGATCTTTTCTTGAACTTCACCAAGTTTGACCTTAACTGACGTTTGAGCTCCCATCATGTTTTCATCAAGGTCATTCTCTATGTCATCAATGATATCTTCCCATGGAGTCGATTTGTCATCATTGATCTTCACGTGAACGCTCATGAAAAAAAATGTCATGTAAAGTATAAATGTCAGATTTTTACTCTTGAGCTTCTTCTCTCTGGATTGACTCGTCTGTAGGGCTTAATGTGCCATCACGTTCGACCAGAAGGTTCTGCTCAGGTCTGTCAAGGAGCTGTCTGTAGGTCGTGAAGGTTTCAACGAGTCCTTGGTAAGGAGTTTGGAGATCAACATCGACCCATGGGTGTTTGCGTAAGAAAGCAGCAAGGCTTTCACGCTTGGAGTCAATGACATCTTTCTTATTGGTTAATCCTTCTTCAAAGCTTAGGATTACTCCTGCAGTTGATTCAAGTCTTTGGATCTGGCGTCTGGAAACCTTGGTGAGTTGTCTTATCCTCTCGTTTCCAAATACATGCAGGAGATATGCAGAAATTACTTCATTAAGTTCGATTAAACAAATTGGATGAAGATCAGTCATGGCTTTTGTAAAGCAATCTTTTGTAAAGCTGTCTTTTGTAAAGCAGACTTTTGTAAAGCAATCTTTTGTAAAGCAGACTTTTGTAAAGCAATCTTTTGTCAAGACGTCTTTTGTAAAGCAGACTTTTGTAAAGCAATCTTTTGTCAAGACGTCTTTTGTAAAGCAAAAGTATTCAATTTTGTGAGAAAATGCTTTTGTAAAGCAGTCTTTTGTAAAGCTGTCTTTTGTCAAGACGTCTTTTGTAAAGCTGTCTTTTGTAAAGCAGTCTTTTGTAAAGCTGTCTTTTGTAAAGCTGTCTTTTGTAAAGCTGTCTTTTGTAAAGCTGTCTTTTGTAAAGCTGTCTTTTGTAAAGCTGTCTTTTGTAAAGCTGTCTTTTGTAAAGCTGTCTTTTGTAAAGCAGTCTTTTGTAAAGACATAACCGACGACCGAATGTCCCAAGATGGTACAACACCAGCTCCAGCATCACCAACACTAGATATGATGGCAATGATGATGCAGATGATGCAACAGCAAACCCAGCTTATACAGCAAATGCAGGAAAAGAAAACTTTCAATAAACCTGCAAAGAACTCACAAGATCTTGAAGCTGGACTCAATGCTCTCAGGAACGACTACAAGAGAGAGCAGATGACGTTTAGGAAGAAGGGTGATGAAGATTATGAGAATGATCCGATCGAGGAAGACGAGATCAAGTCCACTGCATCCACAAAGACCCTCCAGGATGAAAGAGATGATGAGGGATTCCTTACCAAGTCTCAAAGACTCTTTGTCCTTGAGTTCTTCACGATCTCTGCCTTGAGATCTATGAGGAATTGGAAGGGTCGCGTTCCAAGTGGCTCAAACAAGCGCGAACTACTCATGACCGCAGTACCGCTCACTAAGACAAAAGTCCAGCTCATGGACTTTATCCTTTCCGCTTGTCCCGACGAGATCTAAGATCTGATCAGAGTAAAAACTTACATTTATGAGCTAAGCTCAGTAATAATTAGTTGTTTATTCTTTCTTCTCATACTTCTGTGCAAGGTTTCCACGGAAGAACTCAAGCAACATTTGGATCTTTCCAAGCTTTCGACCTTCTTTTTCGAGGTCATCCTGGTAAGTTCGGAATGCGTCAACGTGTGAGCTCGCATAGAATGCAGCAACAACAACCTCTTCTGCACCTTCTTTGCTGTCAAGTGGCATGAACTCGAATCCTTCCATTCGACCAAATAAAAGTGACAAAAATGTCAATGAGACCCACTCGTTGCATAGATGCTAAACCTGGTCCGAAGATGCAAAAGTTCTTCAGAACACTCATGTCTGACCAGAGGGAGTACGGTCATGAAGAGGTCATACAGATCTTCGATCAGTGTGTACCAAAGCCTGAGAATCCAGACGAACTCTTCATGTAAATTTACTTGCTTCAATGGAGAGATGAGAGACCAGGTATGAAACTCAGACCAATAACAATCTTTCCAGGTTTCTGCAATTACCTAGAACAAGCATGCCAGATCAAATGGTCTGACACCATCTTCCTCCAAAAATAAACTTTATCGTTTATAACACTTCAGGATCTACATCTATTTCTTCTGCTTCATCCTCAATGTCGATCTCTTCGACAGGTTTGATAGCAGCTTTGAGTAAGTTCTTACCCATTGTCTTAAGTTCAACTGGGTTATATTCTTTGTCTTTACTCTTTGTTGATTTCGTGAGATCTACATATAAACAATAACTTTTAGTCTTGTCAAGGTTTATTCTCGCTGAGAAATGGTCAGGAATGTTTATAGCTATCTTTTCAAACTTGAGTAAATTAGCTAAACCTTCATTTGTGTATTTCTGCTTATCGACAAAGATCATGATCGGACTTGCACTATAACCATACTTTCCTTGACATAATGTTTGTGGTAAGCATATAAGTAGTCTCTTTGCTGTTTTATTTTGCTTCTTCACTTCATCTACAAACTGTTGGATCTTAAAGAACTTTATATGATGTTCAGACATCTTTATATACCCGATAAAAAGTTCAGATAAAAAAATAATTAGCTATATTTTTATTAGTGCATAAATGAGTCTTTCTTTGAGATTTTCTGATGAAGATCTAACTTTGGTAAGATCTTTAAAAGATGATGAAAACATTCTTTCTGTCATTGATGAAGAAAAGAAATACTTCAGTAATGATGTAAAAATAGAGCTACTCATTCATACTGAGAAACAGTTTGTGATCGTGATCTTGAGTTAAGCAGCTCTGAACCAAGCGAATACAGTCATAAATGGTGGCATATAATCTGCACCCGAGCCTGTTGGATTTGTTGTGAAAGTGTGTGAATGATTTCCTGTGGTTCCACAGAAAATACCTGCGCTTGAATCTACTGGGTCACTTGAAATATCATATCTATGCATTCCCTGTCTATCCGAACCTGCTGCAAGATTTGTATAACCTCTTTTTGTTATTGAATGTGAATGACTACCTGTTGTGTTTGTAGTTCCTGTATGAGTGTGCGGTGGAAGGTTTGCTTCAGTAATTTTCTTCGAACCTCCTGTTTGCTTTGAAGAGTTTGCACAGTAAAAGAATTTGTCTACAATCTGCTGCCATGTACCAAAACCCAGAACTGTTTCTGGATTTGTTGAGTTCATTGACGTATAAATAGAGCCTATAGGATATAATGTTTGAAGTATTTCTGTCTTTAATGTTTGAAGCTCTGTTTTGTCTGCTTTCTTGTCATATAAATCTTGAGCAGTGAATTTAATATTATGTTCATCCTTCATGACATAAACATCTTTACATCTAATGTTTCTCATCGTCGTTATGTCGTCATCCGATGTTAAACCTTGTGGAAAGTTAGGAGGTTTACAATATAATGTATCCCCACCAGTTTCTTCAACCGTTCCTTCAATACTTTCTATAGCAACAGTTGAGAAGGATTTATGTGTATGTTCTTTGTCAGCTTTCTTATCTAACATTGTTGGTAGTTCATGTGTTTCAAAGTTTCTGACATGATCTTCAATGTTCATACATTTGTTATTTAAGGAGTTTAGTGTATCTTTTACGCTTGTACTTGGATTCTCTAAAGGTGCACTTGAACCAAGGGTATAGTTCAATATTATGTCGTCTGCTCTTATTTTATTGATTATAACAGGTTTGTCTTCTCTTGAACGAATTGATTTAACTGTCAAAGGTTCAGTGAACTCATTATTTTTCAAAGGAATCAATGTTGTATTGATGTTTTCACCATTAATATATACTTCTTTTGCATCAATACCAGATGGGAATGAAACTCTTTCATTAACTTTAACTGTTGTACCATCACCTGGGTACATATCTTTCTCTGGACCTTTGATTGTCTTAAGTATGACAGACTGTGATAAAGTATATTCTTTAGATGCAACTTTACGTATCTCTTCGTCAACATAACTTTTGTCAGCTTTGTCTGCAATCTTAAGTGCAGTTCTTCCTCCATTATTTTTGTTCTCCTCAACTTTCTTCGCTAATTCAGCAAGAATGAGATAAAGATAATCAGTAAGGTCATCAGTACCAGACATATTAATATTATTGTTCTTTCTTGATGTATTAGCAACTTTCACTAAGGTCACAAAATCAGGGTACAAAGTACTTAACGTAGAAATGATTGTTTTTGGTCCAGGATCTTTCTCTTCTTCATCATTAGCATCACGTGGCATTGGAATTGGTTCCAAAGGTCCAGTCACATCAAAACTCTCAAGTTCCATATAACCTTCATTTCTGAATCTTTCTATATGAGTTATCTTCTGGAAACTTGTTTTAGTCTTTTCAACTAAATTTTTTATTCCATCCACAAAACCTCCTTTATGATTTGGACCAAGATTACCCAGAGTGTCAAGAACAGTATCTATACCTTCTTGACTTTCAACAAAAGCCCAAAGAGCATTTATTTGACTCTGGAGTGATATCCATGAGGCTGCAGTAGCACCGGCGTTTGCTATGGCAAAGATGAATGATAAAGGGTTGAACTTAAGACCAGATTCTTTATCTTTGACAATTTCAACGAAGTCATTGATATTTTTCTTCAAGTATTCCTTAGTCAGAAGAACTCCATCGCCAGCTATACCAGTTGCTTTTGTCTTTCCTTTAACATCAAATGTGATTGGTTTCTTCAATAAAATAACTTCTGGTGTTGTACTGATGCTATCATTAGTGGAGAAAAATTCTCCGACATGACTTGCTAAGTATTCTTTCGTCAATAATGTTCCATCACCAACAATACCAGTTGCTTTTGGACCATCTTCTGTGAATGTCAATGGTTTCTTTAACATAACTTTATCTAAGTATATTGCAATACCACTATTTTGTACTTGTTCATGACCTAATATATAAGCAAATGCTGCGTTTAAAGCATTATACAATGTATCTTCTTTAAATGTTAATTGACTGTTTTCAATCATTGGTATATTGAACAGTGTAGACCTTGGGTCAAAATGAACTCCATGGTCAATCGATAATAACCGTTTAACATGATATATTATAGTCTCTAATGCTTCATTAATATTTACCTCACGAGTTTCTTGCAAACCATTACTCGCCATACATGAAAACATATAATCTCTATCAGTTGTGAAGAATGGAGCATCTAAGTAATTATTCTCTACTTTTGTCACACGATTCTGTAACGCTTGAAGGTATTGATTTAAGTCTGTTTCAACAATTGTACCATCTGGTTGCTCGATAGGTAATATACCAGGACCGATGGTAATGTCTTCATCAGCACCTTCTTTATGTATGACTAAAGCATTATCAGTAATTCTGAGAGTATATTCTTTATATTGAAGTACGCTAGACTTATAACATTCATATGCATATGGAACAACACTCATTCTTTTACTACATATAAAAATGATGTATTATCTACAATCGACTGATCCTAATAACTACGGGACAATACAGTTTCAAGCAGATCCTAACATGGGGCATCCAAGTAAGATAAAGATGAGAGTAAAAAGTGTCAGTACTATGGCGAACTTTATTGTTTGTGACGAAACAGATTATTTTGTCTTACAGTTAGACGAAGATGGAGAAGAAAAGGTGTGTACATTTAAGTCAGCTCTTTCATTTGATATGGATACTATTGTATCAAAACTACAAGAGATTGTAACAAAACAGTTTGATTATTATAACAAGAAAAAAGGTCAACATAATGTAACAGTTTCACTGAGTGCTACGAATCAACTTATATTTACGTCACAGGACAAAGGACATAAAGTCTATTTAAAAGATGCTTCACATAGAGCAAATCTTATTTTAGGTGCATATGGAATAGAACTACCTATTGTACATAATTATTATCTACAAATGCCAAAACCACCTATGCTCAACTTCGGGTATCAGTTATACCTTCGTTCATCAATGTCTGTCATCTCTGGGTTCAATAATATTGACCAAGTTGATGATCGAAGAAAGATCATGTACAGATCTACATGTTATAACATCAATGAGTTCTGGATATCTGGTAAACCACTTATATGTAAGGAATCCTCACCATGGATAGATGCATTTCCATGGGAACTAACTAATGTTACGTTTACCTTAGTTGACTTCCAAGATCAGCCTGTTCGATTATTGTCACCAATGTTTATGGTGATAGAGATTAAACCAGATAAGCCAGAAGTTAGAGAAACCAATGATGTCAGTGATGATGATACAGAATCTTCGTACGATTATGATTACGATGACGATTAAAAAAAATAACGTATATTTTTTTATCGGTTATAAAAGACCAACATGCTCAATGCTATAAAAGGATTAGTTAATAACCTTTCACCAGAAGATAAGAAAGGTATGCTTGATATGTTTGGGATCAAAATGCCTAAGAAAGCTAAAGACATTACCAATAAATTAGCTCTGGCAATTAAGAATCAAGGAGGTACAGGAAGTGTAGCAGATATTTTCAAGAATGCTAAGAGCTTCTATGATGACTACAATGGTATCATGAATGTTCCAGCTTCAAATTCCCCAGTTGCTTTAGATCACGATCAGAGATCTCATAATAGAGCGTTAATGGAGATGCAACCAATATACTCAGACCCTCCACCAAAGATTGATGAGAGCGAATTAGCATACAAAGAAATACAGAATGCCTTTTACGTTGTTAAGAACATTAATGGTCAAAAACTTCCTGATGAGAAATGGTTAGACCCAATAACTAAAGCAGGAGAAAGATTCATTATGTTTAACATTGACCAATACAGTCCAAGAGGAAAAGATTACTTCAACAAGATGTTTCCAAGAGTTATGGCAAAGTTCATTGGACAGATAGACCTTTTCAAACAGAAGTGGACATTCTATTACGACTTTGATGAGAAGAGAAACATTTTGCGTCATTTGAACATCAATACAATGGGATCATTAGTTCATCAGTTACTTAATGAAGCTCCAATAGCAGAAGTACAAGAATTAGCATCTAAAGTCCTTGAATCAAACTATGACTTCTTCCTTTGTAGTATTCCTTCGTTAAGGAAGATCGAGATCTTTGACTATACAGCTTATTCAGATGTTGATGCTTCTGCTTTGAGAAAAGGAACGTACACACCATATAAACTCACAGCTGAAGAACAAGTTATGTTAGATACGATGAGAGCAGCAGGTCAAGAAAAGATCGCACTCAAGATCATCAAACAAAACCATTCAAAGAAGAGAAACAGGTCACGTAATGGTCAGCTTTGGACATGGACATGCAAATTACCTATTAACTTAGAGAGGTATCAGATCTTCAACGAACTTAATGCAGAGACAGCAAAGAAGATGATGAAAGATTCATGTTTCATCTACGCTTGTATTCAAGCTGGTGTTGACGAAGCAACAATTAATCATATGAGGGAAATCATTCGTGTCAAAGATTTTCCAATGTCAAAGATTAAGGTTATTGCCAAAGAAACAGGAATAAGGTTCCATGTCATCAAATACAACGAGAAGTATTCAAATCATTCATATACTTATGAACCAGATGAAGAACCAAAGATGACAGTAGAACTTTTATTAATGTATGACCACTACATGTTGAACGAAAAGCTTCCAATAAGTTCAATGTTCATCAAGAACTATGAAGATGTTTGTAAGTTGTGCAAGGATTGGACTTTAGAGAAGAAGATGTTAGTTAACAGAAGATATGAAACAAGGTATGCAATTAACTCAAAGTTAGTTACACCACTTGCAAAAGTCATTGAACTCTTGTTTGCTAACAATTATTTCGAACCAATTAGAACAGGAGAACTTTGCACATACTTCACAACGATGTATAATGAGAACCTTGAAGAAATGATTGACCTCACATACAATGAGCGTTATTGCGCAAGGATGAAGAAAGATTGGAGTTCAGAGACGAAGAAAGACATGAAGTTCCCAAGAGAACATGTTTTCTTTGCTGACTTCGAAGCATCAACTGATGGAAACATTCACAAAGCATACAACATTTGTTTCATGGAAGATGACGATGATGGTTATACATCAATTTGGGGAAGTGACTGTGCGTCAAAATTCCTCGAAGCTTTACCAGATAAGAGTTTAGTTTATTTCCACAACTTATCGTACGATGTCACTTTTCTCATGTCTCAGTTAGAAGAGATTACAGGAACTCCAATCATCAAAGGTTCACAAACGATGCAGATACAAGGAAAGTACAAAGGAAAACTTCTCTGCTTCAAAGACTCTTATGCAATCATCTCAACTAAGTTGGAAAGATTCCCTGAAATGTTTCACCTCACTAGTGGTGAAAAAGAAGTTTTCCCATATAATTACTACACGGAAGAGTTAGTTAATACAACTAAAGTTGGTAACATCGATGATGCCATGAATCATGTCAAAGATATTGAAGCTTTTAATGAGAACATTGAGAAGATTGAAGATTGCAAGATTGATGATGAACACTTTGACATGGAAGTTTATTCGTCATTCTATTGCGGTCAAGATGTACGCATTTTACGAGATGGCTTTCTTAAGTTCCGCAATGACCTCATGACTGAGTTTGAAATAGATGCTTATGATTATGTTTCAATAAGTTCTATCTCAAACAAACTCTTTGAGAAGAGAGTATATTGGAAGAACGGTAATCTCTTTGATCTTGCAGGAAAACCTCGTGAATATATTTCCAAGTGTATTCAAGGAGGAAGATGCATGCTAGCTGAGAACAAGAAGCAATACAATGAAGGAGAACTCATCACTGACTTCGATGCTGTATCATTGTATCCATCAGCAATTGCTAGACTTTACTGTTTAGAAGGAATTCCAAAAGTTATGACAGAAGAGATGAAGAGCAGTGAATACTTGTTGGAGCATCTCTTTGATGATGACCAAGCTGAACCAACAAAGGAAAAGTTCATCTCAGGATTTTACTGTCAGATCGAGATCTTGTCGATCGGTAAGAACTCAGCATTCCCATTGATTGTCGTCAATCCTGACATCAACCCTGACTTACATGTTGCCAGAAGTTCCAATACATGCTGCAAGATGTTCGTAGACCACATTACGCTTCAAGATCTGATCAAGTTCCAAGAGATCTCATGCAAAGTCATTGATGGATACTATTATGATGGAAAAAGGGACATGACAATAAGGAATGAAGTTAAGAAGCTCTTCGAATTACGTGCTAAGTATAAGAAGGAAGGTAATCCGATACAAGAGATCATCAAACTTCTTTTGAACAGTATCTATGGTAAGACGATATTAAAGCCCATTGACAAAAAGATTCGTTTCATCAAGGACAATAAGCTCACTGACTATATCATTAAGAACTATAATGACATACAGACAATAGAGTTCATCCCCGATTCCGAACTTTCATGTGTAAAGTCATTTAAACCTATCGTTCGTCACTTTAACTATTGTCCATTAGGTGTTTCAATCCTTTCTATGTCCAAACGAATCATGAATGAAGTATTCTTCACAGCAGAAGATTTGGGCTTGAAGTTGTTCTATCAGGATACAGATAGTTTACACTTGTATGAGAAGGACTTAGATAAGTTAGCAGAAGAATACAAGAGAAGGTATAACAGAGAACTCATTGGAAAAGCACTGGGTCAATTTCATTCAGACTTTGCAGAGATTACTGCAGGACATATGTCTAAGGCACAAAGATCTATATTCGTTGGAAAGAAGACTTACCTCGACGAATTAACCAATGACCTCAAGGAAATTGCTTTCCACTGTCGAATGAAGGGAATCACACAGGACGTAATTGCACTTACTGCAAACCAAATGTTCCCAGATGCGATACAAGTACATTATGACGAGAAGAAAGGTTTGTTCTTCCCTGAGAAAGTTGGGGAAAAATATAGCATCGTGGAATTGTACAAATCTCTTTATGAAGGTGATGAGATAACCTTTGACTTGTGCATTGGTTCGAAACCATGCTTCAACAAAAATAAGGACTTCACTATTTCAACGAAGTCATCTTTTGAACGTAAGTTAAAGTTCTAAACACTTACTTATTATTTTTCTTAGCTTCTTCCTCTTCTCTCAATTTCTTTGCAATCATTCGTGGATTCTTTGCGCGTCCAGCTGCTAATGCAGCTAATTGTTTCTCTGTGAGTTTACGCTTTGGTTTAGCTGGTTTCTCTTCTTGTGTTTGTTCTTTTGGTTTGAGTTCATTAAGTATTTCTTCACGAAGTTCATTCTTGAGTGCTTCTCTGTCGAAAGTATTCTCAGTCATTTTGTTAGGAGTAAAAAATTTTATTAGGATAGAAATGACGTCAAAACTTTCACCAAGTGAAAAGCAATCAATCATATTGAATGAAGCTAAAGGAATACAACATCCATTATATTATGTTTGTCATATGAAGAATGGTTCAGTTCAAGTTAGAAAGAGAAAGGCACCATTGAATTC